CTCCGTTACATTTGGCAGTGATTTCGTATTTGGTTGAATCCTGAATACCATGGAAGGCAGTAGTTCTGAGACAGAAGTGAGTGGCGTCGCTATTAAAGAAAATTGAAAAGGACAAGCGAATACTTAACATTATATTTCACCCAATTAGGTAGGGTAGGGAAATGCAGGTGCAGAAAAATTGAACCCGGTTAACTCAATATTGCAATGAAAAGGATTGTCCTCGGGATTGTCAGAATTGTATCAACTAGGTTCATCAGAACCAATTTTCGTAAATGTCTCATATTTTTAACAGTGTCCGGCTTCCCATTACAGGGAAGTGAGATAGCAGTGATAGCACGATACCGCCGATGCTACTGTAAGTAAAACGTGTCAACAAATATGACAAACGAGCTCTTGGGTAGGGGTATAGCTTGGCATTGCGTACTATATGCCTAAATCTATGGTCATTTTGAATTTTATGCCATAAGGGCCTTCCTCGGGGCCTTCCTTATTTTTTGGCCTACATTGCCAATTCACGAACTCCGATGTACAAATATGATAAAGAATCCACTTCCAAAATTTCATCGTAATCGGTCCATTCGTTTTCGAGATATCGTGATAACGGACAGACATCACTAGAAGCTCGTTAATAAAAAAATGGACAAAAAAATAAAAACTTTAATACCAAAACAACTATACCGCACTCTCGAGGTGCAACGTGCAAATAATCATTGAAGTGTACGAGTGCACATGCGCGCAGTTTATATCTCGTCCTACTTCTTAAGGGCCTTTTACACGGTCATATTAGTTGTCAGTTCAGTTTCAGTCAGTTCTCGTTTCATTTCAGTTCGAAAAAGGGTTGTTTTTACACTATCCGTTCAGTTCTCAGTGTTCTCAGCCGTTTCAGTTCTTTGTAGCCCTGAACACGTGTTTCGCTTCACCCTCGGCTTCACCTTTAAAGTTCAAAAAACGACATGGGCGTAACGGACTGACAGGAATGTTAAGAACTGAAATGAAACAAATAGATCTATCATCCTATCCATCCCGTCAATTCTCAGTCTCCGTTTCGGTTATTCCTTTAAACTGATAGTTTAACTGAAACTGAACTGACGACTAATATAACCGTGCAAGAGGCGCTTAAAATACTTCAACCTACATCCGCATGCTTCCAGGTATACTTCTTCGTCATTGTACTCTGCATTCCACTAGCGGTTTACCCCGGTGCATCCCATCCCGGCATAGTTTTCCCGGCGACCATTACTACCCCGGTATCGGTCATCCCGGCGATTTATACCAGGCGACGACCTATCTCGGCGACTATTGCTTTCCCACCAATGCACACCTTTCCTAACACCGTCTGTGCAACCTCATTTCTCTTTTGTTTTTTTGGGCATAAATAATGATATGCTTTAGAAGCGGATGTCAAATTTGGTACCGAAAGTGGCTGTTAGTGTGCCTGGACGCATTGTAATTAATGCTTAGAAATAGGTATACCTAGGAGACCGAAATATGCAAGGAAGCTCAAATAAGTTGTGTTGTTTACACAATTGCCATCGGTGCAAAGGACCCATTTTTTTTTAAATTGCGTTTTACCATTTACCTACGCAGGTAGGTACCAGAAAACTGTACCTACCTATAAATGACATAATTTTAATTTGATACTATAGTCCCGATTCAGATTGTATTATATCTAAAAAGGAAAAATCACACTCTATAAAATAGCAAATCAGAAAACTTAATTCCGGTGAATTGTTTCAATATGATAAACATATGAATTTGCTTCGCTCTTTTTGGCTGATATCTCGCGATCTATGAGGTCTATATGAAATATTTTTAGCTGAAAATATTTCTCGGGAAATTTCATACAAGGTAGATACTCAGAAGTTAGCCTAGGTGTATCTCTTAGCCTAGGAAATTCATAAAAGCGGCGAAAATCATCAATTTTCGTGGCTTTGGGCAAATATATCGCGACCTTTAGGACTAGATGAAATATTTTTAGCTGAAAATGCTCCTCGTGAAATTTTTTACAAGGTAGATACTCTGAAGTTAGCCTAGGTGTACCTCTTAGCCTAGAAAATTCATAAAAGGAGGCGAAAATCATCATTTTCGTGTTTTTTTTTGCGGTTTTTTGCAAATATATCGCGACCTTCAGGGCTAGATGATATATATTTAGCTGAAAATGCTCTTCGTGCAATTTCATACGAGATAGGTAACTGAAGAGTTGGCGTAAAGTCACCTTTCACCTTCAACTTTCATGTGTGAGGAAATATTCATTGTAAAACAAAGTATTTCTATGTACCATTTATTCACGTAAAAACAGTATTTTCATATTAAAATATTCACACATTCATTTATACCTCAACGTAATCATTACCCTTACACTTATCCAAATCAATTCGTACTTTTTCGATCAGACTTCTCAATCAAAAGTTATAGACTAGAAACCAATTTCGAAAAAAAATTCAAAGGGCTGTAACTTTTGAACCAGTAGCCCAATCTTGGAACTGTTTGAAATTATGGATTCTACAGGCCACATTCTATAAGAAAATTTTTTTTCCGGGTCGATCTGAGACAATTTTCGGGGCTCAAAAAAAGGCAGTGTATAACCTTCCTTTTTTACCAAAAATCGACTACACCAAAATTTCTCGGGAAAACACTTTTTCTTATTAATTTGGGTGCATAGAATCCAAATCAATTCGTACTTTTTCGATCAGACTTCTCAATCAAAAATTATGGACTAGATGCAGATTCCACTTCTTCAGGCTCTTCGACGTCCTCTAGTGGTAGTGGGTCGTCTGAGATTACCGACTCGTAGTTCTCGTCTTCCGCTTTACCTGATGCATGGGTACCCTGAAGAGACGACGTGGCATTTAGGCACGATGCTCCATGACACTGGACGCAGAGTTCATTACACTTCAGACCTACAACAAGAAGCATTATGTCAAAAAAATGTTTATAATTATGTATACGATTATAATATTCTCTCGTGTGTCCTAAGTGTCCGGTAGAGAAGGTTTACCTGATTTCCTGCAACTGTTTCAGAAAATCAGGTAAACCTTCTCTACCCGACACTTAGGAGTTAGGACACACGAGAGAATATTATATTCGTATACTTAATTATAAAATTTTTTTGACATAATACTTCTTGTTGTAGGTCTGAAGAACGAATTCTGCGTCCAGTGTCATGGAACATCGTGCCTAAATGGGACGTCGTCGTTTCAGGGTGCCCATGCAGGTAAAGCGGAAGGCGAGGAGAACTACGAGTCGGTAATTTCAGACGACCCACTAGCACTAGAGGACGTCGAAGAGCCTGAAGAAGTGGAATCTGCAGAGGATAATGATTACGTTGAGGTATAAATGAATGTGTGAATATTTTAATATGAAAATACTGTTTTTACGTGAATAAATGGTACATAGAAATACTTTGTTTTACAATGAATATTTCCTCACACATGAAAGTTGAAGGTGAAAGGTGACTTTACGCCAACTCTTCAGTTACCTATCTCGTATGAAATTGCACGAAGAGCATTTTCAGTTAAACATATATCATCTAGCCCTGAAGGTCGCGATATATTTGCAAAAAGCCACGAAAATTGATGATTTTCGCCTCATTTATGAATTTCCTAGGCTAACTTCTGAGTATCCACCTTGTAAGAAATTTCACGAGGAGCATTTTCAGCTAAAAATATTTCATCTAGCCCTAAAGGTCGCGATATATTTGCAAAAAGCCACGAAAATTGATGATTTTCGCCTCTTTTATGAATTTCCTAGGCTAAGAGGTACACCTAGGCTAACTTCTGAGTATCTACCTTGCATAAAATTTCCCGAGAAATATTTTCAGCTAAAAATATTTCATATAGACCTCATAGATCGCGAGATATCAGCCAAAAAGGGCGAAAACACGGTTTTTGGGGGATGGTGGGGTGGCTGGAGCCTTTAGCACAGGGTCTGGGGGGTGGGATTTTTAATATGTTGTTTCTGACACCTAACTGAACATATTCCACCATTTTTTTCTTTTCCACCTCAAAATGTCCAGTTAGATGTCTTTATCGCCTAGACTATATGAAGAAGTTCGCGTGACGCTAGACAGTCTTGTTGGAAATGTATAAACGCCAAAAGTAGAGTGGCGAGTTGTGCGAAATCTTTTGGGCAAAACCAAGTCAAATTTCGGCATAAAAGAAGAATTCCGGTTGTGAATTCATGCTACCTGTTGATTATGAATTCAAATTCACAATCGTGAATTCGGTTTGGCGCGAAGTAAAATTGTTTTTGTTGATTAACTTCTTTGATGTAGAAGGGATTAAATCGATATCAACACAAGTTTACTATTAACATCAATCTTCCCTTCTTGCAAAAGCACTTTTTCCTAAGTAAGTAGCTCTTGTAGCAATATAGGAAAATTCGAAAGCTTACTAGGTACATGGACTGTGATTTACAGAGCTGTACTTTGCATAGGACTACTATTTGATTTGAAATTCAAAAATCATCCAATCAAATTTAAATAAAAATTGCCCGCCATCAGAGATTCGGAAACGCTATAAATTACTGTGCCATTCTACGTTGAACAAAACACATCCCCTCAAAATTAGGAAAACCGGCCACACCAAGCGCACACTTTTTTAAATAGAAACGGAAACTCAATGAATGATTCAAGGTTCCCAAACTGTAGACCATCTGTTATAGAAAAAAAACGACGTTTATTCAACATGCCCCTAGGTTGTCATGTATTGTCAACTTATCTACGAAACTGGATAGTAGAATGTCCCTGAATGAAAAGAACTAGGTACGTGTGTATATTGAAATGACCGAGATGAATAATTCACGTGTCGTTATAAAATACGTATCCATTCCAGGTAACAAAAACAAAAATCAGGTGACACTACGATCAGTCATTCACTTTTTTAAATTGTAAATAGCGCGTCGAAAGTAGTGAATCTTCAATGAAACGCGACATGATCATTACCGCAACATTTAACAATTCATTAAGAGACGTCATATAAATAAAATTTAAATAAACTTACCTTCAGATAATTCGGAACTGGCCCAGGAAATATACACAAAATACGACAACAGTAAAGTCCATTTGACAACAATTTTCGTTAACAAAACTGCCATTACATTAAGGAAAAACACGTGTTTTTACGAGATAATCATGATATAGCGGTAATGTAATAAATAATACTGTTTAATACGACTGACACCGAAACAAACTGTGTGAAGGTGTGCATCGATAGAGAAAAGAAAACTCGGACTCGGACAGAGCCTGCGCAGCACACCCTGCGGAGCGGCGCGCTTCTGTTCCTATTTAATTCTAAACAATTGTACGCCTTTTTTACCAAATATAGCATTTCGAGATCACCCCATTCTAAGCGATATCGCACAACACCGATCGTACAGAGGGTAATTAGTCTTTAAGGGAGCGGGTTTCAGTCATAAATTCGTCCGTCCAACGTTTTCGCAGAGATTCGTCGGTTTTTAAAGATCTCCTCAGTGGTGTAGCTAGGCAACGGTTACCAACAAATTCCTATATACGTAATCGATAGGCAGGTCCGGCACGAGGTAGCGGGTCGCCCATACTATAAAGCGCAAAAAGATCGTAATCAGAGCTGGGAAGTAATGGATTACAATTGTAATTGAATATAGTATTTAATTACAAGTAATCAGTAAAGCTTCATTCCCAATGCAAGAATTAGCAATTAGGTACCAATTAGCACGTAGGAGTGACATACCATTTAACGTAGGTAGAAGTTAACAAACTCTAAATACTTTTAAAGTACTGTAATCAATATTGTAATTTAATTACCTTTACCAGTAGTAATCGTAATTAGCAATAATATTGTAATCAGCAATACAAAAGTAATCATGGTTACTAAGGTAATCACTATAATTACAATAGAACAATTAAGTTACCTACCTCAAATCCGTCAATATCAATACCTTGTTGCGATTGGTATTTGGTACGGGAGTCAAGTTGTGATCAGTGTTTCTTTCAAGCATTTTTCTCCGGGGGGGCATTACAGTCGCTTGGAGGGTGCAGTAAATAAATCGTAAACTAACGAATAAATTATAGGAGTTTATATAGGTATATAGTTTATTAACGGGCAAAAACAAAAACTGAAATCAAATCAAATTAGGTAAGTATACAATTTATTGTTTTTAAAGAAATCGTATCCGACGCATCCTCTTCCTCGCATTTGTGATTGGCGCTGATCTTAGAGCCTGATTAATTACGAGACCTGGGATGATTACTCAAAAAAGTAATCGAGTACTGATTACAAATTACTTTATCATAATTGCTCTATTTTAATCATGGTTACCTTATCATTCGTGATTACTTTAGTAACCATATGATTAGTAATTACGATTACTACTGAGAAAAGTAATTAAACTACAATACTGATTACAGTACTTTAAAACTATTTAGTTGCCGATTACTGATTACACAAAAAATAATTAAATACTGTAATCAATTACAATTGTAATCGATTACTTCCCAGCTTTGTTACTTGATTGTGTCCACCCGTTTAATTTAATAAGTTCCATCTGGACTTGTACTCCTATGTCCGGGACATTTCAATGTAGTTGGTCCTACACACATGGGGCTTTTGATTTTGCAGCCTCTATAGTTTGGGGATTAATAAAAATACCCGTTCAACACATTTGAATACGCTTGATCTTAACGATCGGAGATAAAAGCCTGCTTTGTTCCAAGTTGTTTAAGTGTAATTAATACTTTCTAAAAGTTACGAAGTACCTATCTTTAGAACGTCGTAAATAAAAAACATCCTACCAATTAATTTTAGTAACTATTCAATCAGTGACGGACTGGGGTAAATTTAACGGCCCCCCGGGCATGACACACGACAGCAGAGACTTGTCAAATAAACCGATACAACGAAATATCGAAGGATCATAATTATCATCACTTTTTTAACGACCATTTATTTTAATCTTGCAAAATACATACAGTCAACAAAAATTCAAATTCAAATTCAAAAGTTCATGTCTTGGGCATTGAGATTGATTTTAGTCTTTTTCCCAAATAATGCGCTTGTTCTATTTCCCGCCGATCTTGGTGCATGAATAACGATTTTGTCATGTTTTGATCAAAATACACATTGTCGACAAAAATGGATCAAATTCGTGTCTTGGGCGTTGAGATAATGCTATTTTAGTCTTTTTCCCAACGATCTTGGTGCATGAGTAATGATTTTGACATACTACTGTGATCAAAGTACATGTGGTCACCGACAATGCAACAAATTCATGTTTTGGGCATCGAAATAATGCTCTTAGTCTACTTTCCTACGATCTTGGTGCATGAATCCCAATTTTGACATGTTTTTATCAAAATACATGTTGTCACCAAAAATGCATCAAAGTCGACATGACTTGGGCAGACCACAGAGAAGAGTTGTATTGAATTTCCACACATCTAAGAATCATAGGGAATATAATCTAGCGAAAGTCCAAACTCGAAACATGTCCTAGGAAATGAGATAGTTCCCGATTCATTCGAAGTCCTATATAACTTTTGTGCCTGTCGAGCCAGCTTCCTGAAAATCAATAGCGTCCTTTTCTAATGTCCAATGTACGGGTACGCCATAAATTTCAACAAGATCGTCACTTTTAAAAATAGTTATAGCACGGACGTACGGACGGACGGCAATATAAAACTATAAAGGCTCTGATGATCGTTAATAAATCGAAAGTCCAAGACGTAAAATTAATACGTGATTTTTTTTAACTTGAAAAGTTTTCATATAAAAACATCACTACTAATAATAAAGTACCCGTACCCGCGAATCTGTCACGAATATACCTTCCTCTTTCCCTTTGTCTGTTCCGACACACACTCCGTTCTCCAAAATATATCATATATCCGTTGTGAGTAATCCGATGTGGTACCGTTGGAATCGCCTCAGGGAGACTTATCACTTTGCCTTTCTGAGTATCGACTTCCTGCAATGCGTTCTCCAGATATTCGCGATCGGGGGCTACCACATTCCCTTTGCCCACTCCCGACGTCCCGTTCATCCACAATTCGGGTTTGAAGTTTTGACCCCACCATGAGTAAAATCTTGTCGGGGGCTACCACATTCCCTTTGCCAGTGCCCACTTCCGACGTCCCGTTCACCTGAAATTCGAGTTTGAAGTTTTGTCCCCACCATCATCAGTTAGATCTTGTCAGGAGCTACCACTTTCCGTCTATCGGTACCCGCTTCCAACGTCCCGTTCACCCGCAATTCGAGTTTGAAGTTTTGTCCCCACCATCATCAGTTAGATCTTGTCGGGAGCTACCACTTTCCGTCTATCGGTACCCGCTTCCGACGTCCCGTACCCGCAATTCGAGTTTGAAGTTTTGACTCCACTATGAGTAAAGATCTTGTCGGGGACTACCACATTCCCTTTGTCGGTGCTCACTTCCGACGTCCCGTTCACCCGCAATTCGCGTTTGAAGTTTTTATTCTATTATCAGTAAGATCTCATCGGGGGGTTACCATACTCATACCCAAAGAGTTGGGTACTCTTTGCTCATACATACAAATTTCGGCACGCAAGATTTGTGCACATTACAAGATTTTTCCGACGATACCAACTTGAAAACAATCGGATCAAAACTATAGAAGAAGATAGGAAAAAACTGAACAATCTCTAGGTTAGTATTACACGCTCGGGGATGCCGCCCAGATGGCGCCGACCCCATATCAAGAAGCTCCATCCCTAAAGTTGTTAATTACACGAACTCCGAAGGTACATGTACACTCCTCGTCTTCTACCAGCATTCTTCAGCCAGCCAGCCAAAGTGAGATTAAAAGCTACCGTTTTACAAATAATTTGCAAAAATGCGCTAAAAAGTAACTTATATCATTGAATAAAAATAGTGTTTTTATTCCATGCTTATATGCAGCAAAGATCATATAGTATGATCTTTGTATGCAGTTTACATATGTTAACAGCTAAACTTCGGAGAACTTTATTTAGATGTCGCCACTATAAAAATGATAAATAATTTGGAATATGTATCACAGAACAGTATGTATGTGACGATCCGTCCTTATAAGAGCATAGACCCTAGTAAGGTTTATATTTATGGCATGCCGACAAGTTAAACATAAACATGTCACATGTGGGGTTTGTATATCTAAATTGTATACAGTATAGATACCTATTCTAATAACCTTATGAATGACCTGTTGTGAATATTCATACTTCCAAATTTCATATGTACCTAGGGATGGGTCAAGTGTAGAGCATGTTCTATGAATATTGAGAAGAAAAGAGGATATCGTTTTTTCAAGTTTATATTCAGAATATCCGAAATAGTACATATATAGGTACATAGGTACAAAGAATATTCAGAATCAACTGAGAATATTCTGTAAGTTTATTCTTGGAATATCCCAAAGGTTACATAACGTCCTAAGAATATTCAGAATAAATCAAGAATATTATTTTAAGTTTATTCTCAGATTATCTGAGATATTCCCATTCCCCTAGTGCCTATATTTTACAAGAAACGTATACACTAGGTAGCTATGTTTAATACATATTCAAATATACCTTTTTGATTATTCCTGGTATATAACAGAAATATTCAATGTTATCTGGGATATGCTGTCGTTTACAGTTTGTAAGGAATCTGCATGTGCTTAATTGCTTATATAATAACAAAATCTCATTAAATTTCCACTGTCCACTTGTTTGCAGCGGCAGTGTGCTCAAACTGTCTCAAGCAGATGGACCAAGGTGATTTTTCCATCAAATATTGCTGACTTAATTTGGAATGATTGGCGTACCAATACTGTCACATAAGGTTCGAGGATTTCTTTGTGGGACGATGGGGGGGATTCAATAAATATTTATCGCTTATATACTTGCTGTCATATTTATAATACTTAAATTTAACCACCAGTTCGGATTTAATTATTTATTACTTCACTATCCTGCTAAACCAGGACTATAAACACAATTCTACTTGCTTATATAGCAAACAAAATGCTTCTAGAAGATTCTCGAACGTCGGCATATCATTCATAGAATCTCCTATCACCTGTCACTAATCCTTTATTGACTTTGTCACATTCTAGAAGCTTAATGTACCATGCATTGTATCACAAAATTTGTACTGTATGTAGACAAAACACAGGGCTATTATTTTGAGGTATTTAAAATGCTAGTGCCAAAGACTCTATTTCTCTTGTTTTTTCTTTACATGCCATGCATTATAAATAAGTTTGATAGAGGGCTTGATCCAAATTGTTAAGAGTGAAAAGTATTAAAAGTTCATGTTAATGTCTTTTTACAGCGCAGTTAATGTTCAACATGGTGTACATAATATTCTTCACTGGTTTCCCCCTCTCGTGTAGTTACACCCGTGTTAACATATAAACATTCTGTGCCCAATCGAATAAAGATGAACATTTTAAGTATTTTCAGGTGTAAGAATTTTGAGACGTTTATGATTTTTTGTATTATAGATTTCCAACAAAAAATAAACACCAGGCAGTACTGTGTATTAAATACAAATCACGTGAAAGTACATTTATTGCACCAGGGCAAGATGAGCGATATAAGAAACAAATTACATACATTTTTTCTATAAATAATAAACAATTTAAAATCGACATTGGAGATCAATACAGACGTATAAAAATATTTCTATGGAACATTACAATTACCTACACTTTTTCATATATCTATTAGTTTTCCCACTTCGAGACTTCCATTTGTTTTCACTTCGGCTTCATCGGTTTTGCCGGCAATTCCGTTTAAGTGGTCAGCTTCGATGTGGCTATAGAAAGTAGATTTCTTTGCACACACCCTTCTATCATTACCAGTCAAACTGTCTGTAACGGGAGGCTTTTGTCGTATATAGTCAAGAATGGGATCCTTCCCAGTACGCATACTTATTTTGGTCTTTAGGATAATGCACTGTGATCGCCAATGTTCGTACGATGCGACTTTTAAACAAGACACCCACTTGTTAACGTCATCTTGACAACGGCAAGAAAATATATGTTTACGTTCGATATCTCGACTTTTGTCCGTAACTTTAAAAACTAAAGAGAATGCGAAAGGTATTCCTTTGTAAGGACGTTCGTAAGCCACCTGAGCATTCTCTAGCACGATGACACCAAGCGGTTCTTGCTCATTCACCCTGTAGTAAAACAGTAGGTTCGATACTAGCTTAAATGTACGTTCCTTAAAGGAGGGCTGTTGATACCAATCAGACCAGTCCTTTTCTTGAGGTTTCATGTGATGCAGAATACCTTCTAAATCAACACGACCTTCTCCAATTCTTATCAACTCTCTATCATTAAATCTCATTTTTTTAAATTAACACAAGTCCTCGGTGTATACGGGCGAGCTCGCATTGTTTTTTTAACTACTTAAAGTAACATTTAATTTAGAAAATCCACTTACTACGAAGAAAAAAATACGATGAGAATTCACGAGTCGACTATGGTAACTGATGCATGACAAATAGCAGCATCCTGTAGGCTGTATCAACAAACAAAACATAAAGCAGTGGTCCTCAGACGTCTGGCGCTAGTGAGATGCCTGGGAGTTTTTCTAAAAATAATTTGGCAAGCCCCCTTTAATATTTTGTTGTATTGCTCCATTTCTAATTATTTGTTGAGTAGGTTTATGTAGATTACTGGAATCTGAACCGGAACCGAAAATCAAAAGTCAACCCAAATCGGACCAAGAGCCTTTACAAAATAGTTATACAGTAATACAGAACCGGTACCAGAGCTGGGCAGTATTCAATTTTGTAAATACTTTTTAGTATTCAAATCCTTTAAAATATTCAAATACTTTGTAATTAAATACTTTTATGGAAGCAGTATTTATATTTGTAACTCAAATACTTTCACAAATATTTAGTATTCGAATACTTCGCAAGGTATTTGAATACTTTGAGAAGTATTCGAATACTTCGCATAGTATTTGAACCTTCCTTTTTTACCAAAAATCAACTGCACCAAAATTTCTCGGGAAAACACCTTTTCTTAATTAATTTTGGTGCGTAGAATCCAAAACGATTCGTACTTTTTCGATCAGTCTTCTCAATCAAAAGTTATAGACTAGAAACCAATTTCGAAAGAAAATTCAAAGGGCTGTAACTCTTGAACTAGTAGCCCAATCTTGGAACTGTTTGAAATTATGGATTTTACAGGAACCATTCTATAAGAAAATTTTTTTCCAGGTCGATCTGAGACAATTTTTTTTCGGGCCTCAAAAAAAGGCAGTGTGTAACTTCCTTTTTTACCAAAAATCAACTGCACCAAAATTTCTCGGGAAAACACTTTTTCTTATTAATTTTGGTGCGTAGAATCCAAAACAATTCGTACTTTTTCGATCAGACTTCTCAATCAAAAGTTATAGACTAGAAACCAATTCCGAAAGAAAATTCAAAGGGCTGTAACTTTTGAACTAGTAGCCCAATCTTGGAACTGTTTGAAATTATGGATTTTACAGGCCACATTCTATAAGAAAATTTTTTTCCAGGTCGATCTGAGACAATTTTTTTTTGGGCCTCAAAAAAAGGCAGTGTGTAACATCCTTTTTTACCAAAAATCGACTGCACCAAAAACCAACTGAATTACGACACAATTTTGTGATTAACCTCGACTCTCAATTGTAGGCTCGAATACCCCGGACGAGGAGCGACTTACCTATATCGGGGGCGAGATTCTGTTAATTAATAAAACGCTTCGGTTTAGAATCTGTGTGGTATATGAGTTGTGATTCACCGATTTCCACATATTTTGTTGTAACATTGAATTTGTGCTACAAAGTCATGTAATTTTCCATCTTGCTCTTAACAAAAGAATTTTATTGCACCAAAGATAAGTCACATCCGGCGTATTTCACCCTTTCTTAGAATTTTTGCTAGTTGCTTAGATATCCTAAACTGCGATTTATTTAATCAAAGGTCAAGATTGTGAATATTTGCACTTGAGATTATATCAATTACAATTTTAATCTAAATGGATAAGTCAAAATTACTTTTCAATTCCTAAAATGCTCAAAGTAAGATTTTCTTATTATCTGAACTTTTCTTGATCGGCTTTAAGGACATTATACGACTTTCATTTATACTTAATAATAAATACATAATTGCGAATTTAAATTGGAATCAAATTCAATTCCGTTTATGTCATTTGGCGCACTATTCCGAAGTAGATGCGTTGAAGTCAATCTCCTAAGTTTTTCGGATTGAGTGGAAGTATTGTATCCGATGGAATTGCAACTCTACAACGTGTTTGCCCTATATTTCAACCGGATCTGCGAACCTATCCACTACGTTCATGCGGTCTAAACGTAGTCAGTGTTAAATTTGACTGATCCGGACTATTATGCAAATTTTTCATTCGCCGTTGTATTTACTTGCAGACATTTGGTACACCCTTGAGGTACTGTGCGCAACGTTGCCAGTTACCGATGCCAGAAATAACCGATTTGCAACTTCTGCTTCTTGCAATTGGCAACAGGGTTATCGGTTACGTTGGAAACCCTGCTCAGCTTCTACTAAAAAATTCTTGTCAAGTAACCATAGAAATATTATGGCCTTAACTTGTTTTTGTTTCTCCAGTCCTAAGTAGTTCAGCTTTAAATACGTAAATGAGAAGTATATTCATGGTGTAATTATTGGGCAAATTAGGAGTTCACTTATAATTTCAACGCAACGACTTTACATGACAACAAGCACATAGGCGTACGTAGAACCGTTACCTGAACTCAAATTGTACACTCGTGGCATTTGCAAAAGTAAGTAATACATTTGCACTTAAATTGAAAACTTAACATTATTCGCAAATTTTTTTCTAACACAAATCTGCTTTCAAAAATTGTAGATATGTCACGCCCTCTATAACATTTAGCCCGCCATTAACGACCAATCACAACCACTTCTTTAAAATTTGAATTGATTGTTACAGAGGGAGCTATAAAATGTTGGAATTACGGTATGCCAGTTGTCAGGTATTTGTTATTTTAATTCTGCTTGTAAACGCGATACCGAGACATAACAGAAATGATCACAAAAACGATCCTCGAAATAATGGCGATTTGGCTCTATGGATCGATGAGAAACAAGTAAAAATGTTTAGCGGTAAACTAGTCAACATCCATTATGAACATTCTCAACCTTGTTTATTGTAGGTATGGCGATGGAAATCTACGCAATTGTAAATGGTAATGTTTTACCTTACATTTTGGATCCGAACTTTGAAAAATACCTACCAGTTATACCAGCAGAAGTAGGATATGTTAATTTCACATGGAAATCAGGAGTGAAGAAGTATTATTATCATTTTGATCGCTTGCAATCATTTGATGAGAGTATTTTAGAACCACCTGTTTTGTCAATTAAAACGAAAGGTAGAGTTCCTAAGCGACCTAAAGAATTTAGCATATTTCTACCATGCTTGGGAAATAGTTCAGGAATTGCCATATTTGGTATCGGCTTGTTGATTGAAACTAGAAAGGGCAAACCCTTAAATGGGACACCTTTAAGACTCAAATTGAGGAAAGAATGCTCTCAAAGAAGTAAGAATGGTTAAATACTTCATTATCCATATAAAATTATTTGATCTAAAGATCCAGATCCGGAATGCCATAAAAAATGTGCGAATAATGGCTGGTGTAATCATGAAAGAATATGCCAGTGTACAGAAGGATATATGGGACCTTATTGCCGTACTGCTTTGTGCTACCCGCAATGCATGAATGGAGGTAATTGCACATCTCCCGGAATTTGCAGTTGCCCTGAGGGTTTTCAAGGACGACATTGTGAAGGAGGTAAATATGTAGCTGTAGTAAGTAGTTGACAAGGCTTTCTAATACGACCGTTTTCATACTTATTATGACGATTTTATAGGTATCTGTGGCGAGAAATGTTTAAACGGCGGAAAATGTGTACAAAAAGATACTTGCGAATGTTCGAAAGGTTATTACGGTCTTCATTGCGAATACTGTAAGTATTTTCAATGTTTACGAAATTATGATTGCGCCAAATCTTTTCATAGCAAAATGCATAATTCCTTGCTTAAATGGTGGAAAGTGTAAAGGTGTAAACAAATGCAAGTGTCCGAATGGTTTTAGAGGTGACCACTGCGAGATTGGGCGCGTCAAACCTCACAGGAGTATTTGCAAGGTGTCCTGCAGACACGGTACATGTATTGATAGTACATGTGTTTGTGAACCGGGATGGTACGGAAGATTATGTCATCATAGTAAATATAATGTTGAGGTTTTTGGCGTGGTGTTGATTTTTGTTTGTAGTGCAAATGTAGCATATGATATTTTCAAGGGACTGCTGCACAAGTTCATATTGTATTGGACTGACTATGTACTATGGAGAGCTACACCGAAGTGCCGTTTTTATGTGAATACCGCTTCAACTTTGATTTTTGCTCATATATTTTATATGCGTGATATACTTTATATAGACAGATGTAAATTCAAGCTAGGGCGCTTATATATTTTTGTATTTGATTGTATTTAATAATGCTTAGATCTCGCTTAATAACCAATGCAATATCTTATAGTGCTATTTTATTCATGTGATAAATATATTTTTATACAGAAACATATACAAAATATATTTTATTTATATGTATGTTTAAATAAACTGGTTTATGCAATTAACTAAGGGTTTTATTATTCCTATATTTTACTACTTGTTATACACTGTGTCCATTAGTGCCGGAGTAGTTTTATTTTTGCGACTAAACGATCGCACGAAAATGTAATTAAACACGACATAAACATGAGGTCATTTCCTTTCTATGACCTTGAAAACGTAATTTGATACCACACATGGGTTCATTGTCCTTGGATGACCTTGAGGTTGTAATTAGACACCGCATAAAAATGACTCATTTTGATAATGTAAATAGACATTACATAACAAACGAGGTCATTGACCTCGCATGAAATGGGTTCATTGACTTTGGATGACCATGGGAGTATAATTAGACACCATATGCAGCACAGTGGCGTAACTAGGTAGGTGCCGCGGCACCGCGCTCTGAATGGGGGAGGGCGCGCTGGAGGCGCTGAAGCACCGAGAGCACTGTCGGGATGGGCAGTACGTGGTGTACCGTATAGGCCAGTCATAAAAGACAAGAACGGCAGTTAAATTCTAATACTTTGCTAAAGTCGACTACAGGGTGCACTTAAATAATATAATTAAAACTAAATTTACGCTCCTTTAGGATGAACCGAACATTGTTAAAAAATAAAAAAATTATCAAAGTCTTTGTGTGAGATGTTAGGGATTTCAGCGCATTTTGTGTGGCAGATCAGTACTTTTATTAACCACAATGAATAAGATTTTGTCGGGGGCCCCATATTCCCCTTGTCGGTACCCACCTCCGACATCCCGTTCGCCCGGAATTCGCGTTTGAAGTTTTGACTCCACCGTTAGTAAGATCTTGTTGAGAGCTACCACACTTCCTTTGTCGGTACCCGCTTCCGACGCCCCCATAGAAGGCGGATGTATACACAGTTTGAATCAAAACACTTGTACCACGCTATCTTAAGTGCCTCAATATGAATGGCGACTGTGTTGAAAAATAGCCTAAGAATGTAGCTTCCAAATGTATATAATAAAAGTTGTTCATTACACTTTCTTAATTTTTTATTTCAAAACGTCTGTTACTTTCTGGATGGCCCTTGTAGTACAAAGTTACAGCGGTAGGAAAAGGCTGCAGATTTAAAATAATAATAATAATACTTTATTTGTGATCTATACAATAGCCTGTATTAGTGTAACCAGCATTTGCACGCAATCATTTCTACGACTTGTGCCCCATGCCATAGTTAAATTTGACGCGAGAATTGGAAACTCTATAAATAAATGTATTTCTATTCTTCATTCAGTGAAAGATTTCGTTATTCAAATCTTTCTAAAATTTAAGTATGCAAAATTTGTTTGTAAATTCGAAAGGGTGCAGTGCTGTTAAAATTTCGTGTAAAGTTTCTCTCAAAAATGTACCGTGTTTTATTAATTAGAGCGCAATGGTAACTGATTAGGCACCAAAACCTGATCCGGCACCGCTTCGAAAAATACGTAGTTACGCCACTGATGTAGCACTTCTAACGTGTAATTTGTCACCGAAAAACATTTTGACCTTGTATGACCTCGGGAATGTAATTAACCACCACAAAATATGAGGTCATTGCTCTTCTATGGGCTTGAAAATGTAACTTGATTCCATACAAGTGCCATTGAAATTTGGCAACACAAAAATTGACCTTGGATGACATTGAAAAACCTGGGATGACTTCGAACATGTAATTTAACACCATGCCTGGGGCCATTGACCTTTTATACTCTTAAAAATGTACTTTAACACTACATCAATTGAGACCTTGTAAATGTAATTTGATACCCCAAAAATTAAATACGATCACTACAACTTGCCCTTTGAGTTGTACCGCGACTTACTTTCCAAAGTCACAGCTCAGGTTGCACGCGACTTTCGCCTTGACCCAATTTCTAAAGTCACCGCCACGTGGCACCTTGATATACTTTCCAAGGTCACCACCAGGGGGCGGGTGACCTTGAACTGTTATCTTGTTATCGCCAAACTTACTTTAGTTCATGTTTACTATGAAGCGGTGCATGTGGACATTTCCCTATGTTGAACAACACCAAATTTTTGAAAGTTGCCTCCAATTTCTGTTAAACCGGAAGTTTTAATATGCGATCGAATAGATCTTAATGTCACATATAAAATTATATATTTGACAAATTCGTATTTCACCAAATAAAAGAGCTACCAAGGCGACCCTATTATCCCGAACACACTGTATAGTGCAAAGGTCAAGCAAAATAATTGGTTTTCCATTATCGCCCCAGCGAAGACGGACAATTTATAAACAAACAATATGGGTTTGGCCTTTTTTCAAAACCCAAACAAAGCTTACTCTGCAAACACGAAGGTATGTACATAAATTATATTTTTGAAAATTCATTTATTCCATCACAACGTATAACAAAGTAGAAAATAATTTACCCAAAGTATAGGCTTATTCATTTATACATTAATGAGCTCACTAAAAACGATTTCCTACTCAGCTCATTAATGATCGAATAATACGCCTTTAACAATTTTTCAAAAATCTGATTTTATAACACAACTTAATCTAAAATGACAAGAACATCCCTAGAGAACAATTATAAGATAAACGGAATGATTGCTTTGCGCTTCTTGGGATAATCGGAAAACTCTTTTCTATAATTGCGATGTTTTCCCAAGGCCCACAGAGTCATCTGGCCCCATCCGACAATTGCGAAAAATGCAGCTAAAATCCAGCAATTAAACCGTTACCACAAATTGTAAAAAAAAAGAAGTTTACCTGGTAGGCAGCTGGTCATAATGCTAAAACCAATCCAAGCCGCAACTTCGTACGTGTAATTAGGACACGAAACGTAATTAAACAAGGCGTTGAAGGGGTTCCCGTCCGGTTTTGGGATCTTACGTACAGACGTACCTGCCGGGCGTAAGTTGCGAAAAAGAAGGTGTGTGCTCAAATTTCCTACCTCGGAAAGCTAGAAGGAAAAGTAAATAGAAGGGAATCGCAATGAAGTATAACTTACTGTGAAAATGGCTAAACCCATAACTACTTGAAGATAGGATGGTGATGTAAATAGTGGGTGGTTGGTGTGGTAAGCAACGTATGCTGTAAAACCCCAATAGTAGCTGCAATTTTTGAATAAGTTAAGTATGGGCATCGTGGCATGAGAGAAGCGATGGACAAATATTGTTTCCAGCAAACGTTTTGCATAATGGAAACTCCAACAAGCAGCTGCAATTCTAAAAGAAAAACAATCAACTTTCCAGTTACGTGGTGGAACTTAGAAATATCTTACTTTGCAGTTAAAGACATCGGTTGAAAGTTGTTTGAAGGGCCATAGAATAACCATGGGCGAGTTGTGAAAATTAAGTAAACAACAAGAGGTCCTAAATATTCACATAAAAATACCAAACTCCAAGAAATTTGAGGACCCAAATCTTTGACGTACACTTTCCCATCTTTTAGACCTACACTTGCTATGCTGGCACTGTCTTTAATATCTTTACCTTTGATAGAATTGCGAATTGACTGTCGAGTGATCTTTAATTTTTGTTGTAGCTTCGAAATTTTGACTTTAATATCCTTAACTGTTCCCGCTGAAGGAACCGTGATAGTTCCTAGTGAACGGTTGCTGGTAGTAAACACCTCTAACTAAAAGAAAAACGACATTATTCCATAAATCTTAAGAGGAATGTTTGAATCAAACTTTGTTCACTTTAAAGTAAAGTGTACCAATTACTATTTTGTCAAACTTTCATACCTCAGTCATGACTTGGCGTTTTTCTGTATTGATTTGAAAACGTGGACGGTTATCACAGCTATGAAATAAAAGTCTTAAAAGGATATGCTTAATTAATTATGCGGTAATTAAAATCGAAATTATCTATAGGTAGCAAAGTGCAAAGTGATGTTAGAGTGCCAAATGTATCGCAGGAGGGATTTTAATCGTGGATTAGTTTATGAACTAATCTTTAGGTAGCTGTAACTATTCTGGCGGTCTTACCTACGCCGCCATATTGAAAAGTAGTTCAAAACACTCAAGAACAAAATGAAATAAATAGATAAATTAGGCCTAACGTGACAGCTTTAAACGAGAATCAAAATTTGTTATTTGTCATGAGAATGATGTTTGTAGGCACTCGTATAAAAACATCGCCTCCTCTCCTCCCTCCCATTTTCTCAACAATTTATCTAATCGGGTAGTCGCCCACATTATGTAAAGCACAATGTTTAGTTTTTGGTTCCGTTTGACCTTTTTCTCAAACAAAATGGGCGATAAGTTCCAATTCCAATATGACGGACAAAACATGGGTACGGCTGATCTTGGTAGTGATTAGAGAGATAGAACGGAACTTGGTAGAAAAAAACTTCAAGATCTGAAGGAGAGAGAATTGTTGTTACCCCCACATAACGCCAGTAGTAAGTAGTTTATTTTGGTGCCACTAATGGCAAACTTTTCTACAGTGCCATTTAAAATTCTTTATTTATTTATTAAAAACAGCGTCTCGGTTAGTAATTCATGTACGGGGGCTCTTAGATATACGAACGTAAGCTGTCGCTGTCCGTTACAGCTTCAAGGGTACCCGGGTACTTGTTGCACGTACATCATCAGGAATCTAGGGCAATACCTTTAAAAGCCTGCCCGACATGATGGGCATTTATTTCATTTTGCGTTGGTTATTACCGTGGATGTTTTTATTTTCTAAAAATGCGTATGAGGAAGTATAAAAGCGATCAGACCTAAAGTAAAAAATCCTGGAGGTCGATTTCTCTCATTATAGCGATCCTCTCTTTTATTGCAGACATCTTGAGAACTGATGAAGGTCACATATTAGGTTCAAAGGTTGCCGCCATTGGCATCTTGGTTAGCGTCGAGTCGTTAGCGGTGGTCGGCGCCCTGGTGTGATTTGTTCTTGATGAATACAGACATCATCATCTAAAACCTGCACGAGTTAATCCTTGACGATACATAACCAAAACGGTGACATTAGATTTGATATGATACTGGCTATGCCCAGTTTGAATTTCATGCAATTCGGTTCATAAATCGCCGAGATGATAGAAACTATCGAAGTCACCGTGTGAGATCGAAGGGACTTCAGCGCAGTTTTGTCCGGCATATGAGTGTTCTATTAGTCAGTTTTGACACTACCATCAATGTCTTTTCGGGGCCGGTTACCATATATTCGTTTTGTCAGTATAAGTACCCACTTCATCAATTCCGTTCACTCGAAATTCGAGTTTGATCTTTTGACTCCACCATCAGCAATATGTTGGCGAATTATCATTTCCTTTGTCGATGACACCACTTGAAAACACCAAACGAAAAATCACCACATTATTACCTAAACCACGCCCACATCATGTATAGTTCATCAGTTCCTAAAGTTGTTACGCGACCCCGGTAGGTACACGTGTATACTCCTCGTCTTTCTGCAAGCTTTTGGATGTAAGTATATGAATTCCCCTCTGAAAGTTCGACCCTCAAGAATACTCTAAAAGGTAATAAGAGACTAGGATGTAATTTGTAGCATGGATCATGAAATGCATATTACCCGTATTTTGAATGTGAAAAATAAATTTATGTTAAATTAATGAAGGTTTATTTAACATACAAGTATAAAAATAAACAAAAAGATAAAATAAATATTATGTATTATTGGTAACAATTATTTAAAGAATATACAACAACCAATCGAAATGTATCACAGAACCAACCATAATATTTCAACATACTAAATGATTGTTTTTCTATACAAACAAGTGGAAAGCAAAACCACAAGCAGCTGTACAATAGATATGCAAGTCAATTCGATATTCACGAATACAACACATTGTAGGTATCCCACAACCAACAAGACTTAATGGTTGGTTATTTTCTAAATAGAAATATATCCTAACACTTTCACACTCAAGTAATAAAAATATTACATTTAAGTAAACAGTATCGCATAATTATTACAAGGGTACCTAATGAGTAAATCACACCTTACTTAATTTAAAAAATGTGCAATAGACAAAAGTGTCTTTAAGTATAATAATTATTACAAAAACTTATTGTATAGAAAAGAAATGTGCGTCACTTTGATTATGAAATTAACAATAATTGTTAATACAATACCACCTGAGACTTGATTTACTTTCATACGAATTAAGGGTTGCTTTATTCCCTTTCCATTGCAACAAATATACAATCGCCATCTTTTGTACAAAAGTTTATTTTCAAAAATGAATTGGATTCATTCAAAAGCAAATAAGCTGGTTACTTCTAGTTCCATTAAATTATTCAACACGAAACAAATGTAGGTATATGTTCCTATTTTAACATAATATTTACCTAACTAACACATAAATTACGTTTATATAAATCACCTTTTTTGTAAAGTCTCGAAGGACTAGTTTATTATAAGATCTATGGCAAAAAAGTACACCTCAGCTTCATTACTAGACTAGGTCTAATAAGCGAGCATAGTGTATGTTATAACCATAGAACTTGCCTAATGTTTTCCTGCGTTGCATTAAAACATAAACCATACACTAATTATGATATACATATACAGGTACACAAAGCGGGAACTTATCTAACGTTCAGCAACTTTTCTTCCTTGGCGTACCTACAAATTTACAATGTATTTAAGATAAACTCGGCTAACTTGGCTCAGATTCTTGAATAGGGTCATTAAAAAGACAATTATTGGTGTTCATGTTGCCACATTGACAAATCCCAGGCCTGACATCTATGTCAATTCATACTGAATGACTGAATCGATCGTTGGTATGGCTGAGATTGCTCTGGCAATAATCTATTCCATTTTGTATCCTTCGGTATAATCAGTTTTTTTTCGAGAAAAGTAAAGACAGTCCACAAAACATTTTTATTTACTTGGAAAATCCAGTTGTCAATGGTAAAAAATTATGGAAGATTGGAGACAACAAGAAACTGTCAATCTGCGCATTGGAGACTGTAAACCAGACTCTGGAAACTGAGATAAGAAAATATCATTAGAATATGGAAACAAAAATCTGGAAGCAGGATATTGATGTAATTCAATAAAAGGAAAATGGAAACTGTAAACTGGGAATTAGAAAATAGAAACGGTAAAGTAGAACTTTGAAAATTGGAAACTGTAAAATGGAATTGGACACTGAAAATTCAAAATTGAAATTTGAAAATTGGAAAATTGTGACGCGACGTACTGGAAACTGTACGTAAACCGGAGACGGAAACTTAAAACTAAGATATGGAAATTTGATACTGGAATACAGAAATTGGAACCTGGAAATCGGGACACTAGCAAACGGCAAAACCGGTAGGTAACTGTTTTGAAAATCCGAAATCTAGACTAAGAAACAGAAACATGGCACAGGAAGGTTTGCTGTGGAAACAGAAATCTCAAATCTGGAAACCGCTGGAGGCAAGAACTGGATACGATATCAAACTCTTAGGATCTGATAACTAAAAAGTGGGAGACACTTTTGATGCTGTATAAACATGCTCACTATATGACCATATCACTCAGATCAGACATAACCCAGTGCATGCATATCAATGGTTCACCACACCTGTCATTTTGGAGAATTAAGCGAACATTTTTGAAAAAATTGCAAACAATTAAAAAAAAATTCAGAAAAGAGATACCTACCCATTCTTATGGCTCCCAAATGAAACATTGTAGACCCTTGGTTTATTCAGAAAGGAGGTTTATTTGTACTAACCTTTACCTACCAACATAATTTTGAACTTATTGAGAGAACAGTTAAAGGTGGGAATATCTTTAATAGATATATTTTTTAATTAGTGCTGTTTAGTTTAATTATGGGAATTGGTTTAACATTAGACTAAGGAATAGAACCAAGAAACCCTCCCTCCCCTCCCTCGTAACCCCATTATGAAATACCACCTACGGTGCAGCGGAGGTCCAAAGTTTCAGCATACCAACCTCGAGGTCAGTGTGATGGCATAAACATGAGCATTAGTCACATATTTTCAAACATAGATGTTTACCCTAGATTTAGCTAAGTTAGCCCGAGTAATTTTGACTACACCGCATTTGAACCAAAGGGAGGCATTTATTACAATTGTAGTATACGAAATAAAGTTTCAATTCGCCAGCAAAATCAGTACAATAAGTCAAATTAAAGCCTTTCTGTACGTATGTACAATGAGTTTCACCACAGCGAACATTAATAAGATACATACTGCTTGCAGATCAATCACACTGGTGGTACAGCCATTAAGTCGGAGTGATGGCTAATGGTGTAATGCAGATCCACACCAGTACTAATGGAACCATCGCTTAAATCATGATGCAGACGTGGTCTCCTCGACCTTTTATGATGAGCTGCAACGTGACAACGACAATCACAGTGCATAACACACAATGCAACTGAGGTAGCGAGAGTTATTACAAATGGCACAGCAAAATAATGTATTATGATAGCAACCTGCTCATCTCTATCGTAATGTGTGAGTACGACGGTACGGTTCTCACGAGAATGGTAACAGGGAAATTCGGTTCCCTCATTCCCGTAAGCTTCCGTGAAATTTGCGCATAGTACTCTCGGCGGATAGCCACAACCTTTTATATTAACTAACAATATCGCGTTATCAGTTTGATTAGGTGCGCTACTGGAATCGTTGTAACTTACGTAAATGTGAGTACACTGATACGCATCACTCGTGCAACCCTCGCGACACGAACTCCAAGAACAATTCGCGAGACCGATAAGTTCATCACGACGGGTCGTAACACAAGTAACTGGTTCTGTAACAAAATTGGAAACAAGAGTTGATATCGCTGGATCTACATATAGTGGTACTAGGAATAGTAGTGATGATCCGGCCGACATAGCTATTACCGCGAGAACGCTTGTTGAATAAAAGAGGGTTCGTTCCCGACATGATTGCCCTGATGCTCTCGTCTTTTTGGCTTGTTGCGCTAATTCTTTTATTTTACGTTGGCGGAGACCCTCTTGTTGATCAAGGAGCAGTTCTGAGCTGCTGCTCCTCATGATTCACTCTTTTAAGGCATAATAGGAAAAAATTTACAGAGCCACTAACAGTTCCTTGCTACTTGTTAAGTTATTAATCACGCACTTCCAAAATTGTTGCCAATACCCATTTATGCACATAACACAAACTTTACTTTATAAACACTCGTTATATAATTGTAAATATGTGTATAATTGTAGAATTCATTGAAAACATGATCTATCAAACTGGCGCAAGGTATAAAAGAGGGTGGGGGTTTAGGGGTAGTTTCCAGCGCTTCTCAAACGATCGTTGTCTGGTTTCCAACCAGTTATGGATATGCCTTCAATTGAAAGTGAAATGTAAAAATCTTTAAGTTTTTCACAATTCACTATAGCCTTTTTAGCGCATTTTTGCAAATTTCTTTGTTGCTTATTTTAATATCTCACTTAGGCTGGCTGGCTGGCAGTAAATGCGAGCCTGTAGAATAGGGCGGAGCGAAAGTAGGTAAGCATAAAATTAACAATTTCCGAAAATGGTGTACCCTGACGATGTCTTTTGAGGTGCCAAGTCACCCAAAAAAATCTGAAAATTTTAGGAGTGGGTATGTCTTTGGCTGCCGAAGTGACATTGAAAATTATACAAAAACGAATTTCTTGGAAATGTAAAAAAAATTAAATGCAGGCCTTAGCTTGTTTATTTTTAAGGAAACAACCCAGAGAACTCACTACGAGGAGGTGGTTGCACGTCGTATTCCACTCTAGCCCTCCCGCAAAAAAATTAATTTATTAGTTTTGTTCTAAAACGTTTAGAAACTGTTCAAATGCTTCAAATTACAGTATATACATAAGTAGTGTAGCAGGGGGGTTCCTGGACCACTTCAAGGTCGCTCGCTACCTGGTGGTGACCTTGGAAAGGAGGTCAAGGTGACATGGCTGTGACCTTTGGAATTGGGTCAAGGTGAGAGTTGAGTGACATGTGCTCGGTGACCTTGGAAATTAGGTCAAGGTGAAAGTCGCGTGCCACGTGGGCGGTCTTTGCACTTTACCCTATCGACAACCTTTTGACTTTGAACAGCTGGTGGACTTTGATCGATAGCTTGGCATACTTTTCCAATGGAATTTGAACGGTCAGCAACCTTTGGATTTTGAAGATACCTTCACGATTACTACAGAGTAGAGCGGGGAGCGAGTGATCTTTGGACTTTACCTTGACCTACTCTCCAAGGTCACCGCAAGGTTGCTAACAGAGGACAACGCTCTCAAAAAGTCAATGATCTAGAATGACCTTAAGAATGTAGGCCAATGACATCGAAATTATATGGTTCAATGACCTCGGATGACCTTAAAAATGTAATTTGACACTACATATAACGGGGCCAATGCCCTCGAATGAAATTGAAAATTTATTGGAGCAATGACCTCGGATAACCTTGAAAATGTAATTTGATATCATAACAAAAACGAGTGACCTTGAACATTTATGGGGACAATGACCTCTGATGACATTGGAAATGCAATTTGATGCCCCAAAAATGGGGTCAATAGCCTCCGATGACCTTGAAAATTAATGAGATCAACGACCTCGAATAACCTTAACATTAATGCGGTCAATGTCCTCGAATGACCTTCAAAATTAATGGGACCAATGACCTCGGATGACCTTGTAATTTATTGGAGCAATGAGCTCGGACGACCTTGAAAGTTAATTGAGGGTTAATGATCTCGGATGACCTTGAACATTAATGGGGTCAATAGCCTCGGATGAAAATTGAGGTCACCGCCCACGCGGCACGTGACTTTCACCTTGACCTAATTTCCAAGGTCACCGAGCACGTGTCACTCAACTCTCACCTTGGCCCAATTCCCAAGGTCACAGCCACGTCACCTTGACCTCCTTTCCAAGGTCACCACCAGGTAGCGAGCGACCTTGAAGTGGTCCAGGAACCCCCCTGCTACACTACTTACATACTCGCAATTTTAATACAAGCCCTTATAAATCCCAAGTCCCAAGCATCACAGTCATAATCTCCATAGAGGCTTATATCACTAATTTTATACCTACCTCCCTCAACAGCCTGTAAATGGCAAGGAAATTTGAGAAGAGGTATTTCATCCGGCACCAAAGATATCACGTCCGTTAATTCTTCATGTGATATTCTCATTGTTGAGGAAGGTTCGCTGATAACACGTTGCCAGCCAATTAAATTAACATAGTAAGATTCTATGCCCGCGCCTCTGTTCATTTTCTTGATTTTCGACGCTGTAATATTTTTAAGGGCAACTCTTGAATAAACTTAGGTACTACTAGGTGCAGTCAAATGAAGCCCGACTGGAACACTTACAGAGGTAATAAACACCTTCATTCCTAGAGCATTTATCCCACTGCTGAACGGGACAAAGAGTGCCTGACTCCCCACGGGAGTGAAGCGATCCAATCACAGACCTCGTCCAGCACCTCTGCATTCGGTATGTGACAAGTGCTTCTTCATGGGCCAAAAAACGTGGAAATGATATCCAGCTGACACTATTCTCACCATACACACCAGCTATTCTGCGTTGAATTTCGATGGACACCTCTTCAACTGTCATAAAAGGCACAACACCTCGCTTTTCTTCCCTAGCGGTCACTACGGAAAACACATGCCAGCTGTGTACCGGACTACTAGGGAGTGCCACCCATACGATACGATACCGGACTACGGACAATCTCTCTTTTTAATTTGTTTCGACTTTTAATCCCCCCACCCCCCTTCGATTCAAAATTTTTGTGTTTTGTGTTGTGTGTCTGATATAATCCCAACGTTCAAGCACTTAAATGGTGGGGTATATTTTCAGATTGGCCCAGTATACGCATTAAATTGTTTTTCAGAAGTAATAAACCGCGTATAACGCGGATTTAGAAAAGCGACAGGGGGATGTGACCCCATGTGGTCATTGGATTTGACCCATTTTCAACGGGCTTGCTAAATGTGGCATATAGGTCAACCGTGAAAAGTTTGAACCTAATCGTTGCGGGCGTTTGCCAGTTATCGTGTTCACAGACAAACAAACAGACAGACATACATCATCGAGTCCCCTAAAAAGTTTGCATCACATAATAATAGTTTAGAGCCTAATTAAAATGCAAGGGACAACATAAACTTAAAAATAAAAAAATCTATAAAAGATAAATATTTCGAAAATATAGAGCCATTTCGGCGGCCCAAGATATTATTTTTGGAAACTCAAATTTTGTCATCTTATTAAAGAGGTAATTATACACCCTTTTGACATACAGGCGTTTTCAATTTCAAAACTTGAAAAATTCACTCCGCCCTACTGTAGAGAAGAACGCTTGTAAAAAGACGAGGAGTGTAGTTAACAACTTTAGGGACGGGACTACAAGATGTGGGGTCGGCGACATCTGGGCACCATCGACCATCCCCGAGTTTGTTATACTAACCTGGCGATTTTTCAGTTTCCTTCCACAGTTTTTCTCCGATTGTTTTCAAATAGGTGTCGTCGGAAAGATCTTGTCAACGCGCACAACTCCTGCGTGGCGGAATTTTGTTATTTTTGCCTAGGGGCGAAATAAACCAACCACCTTTTGCACGTCGCGCTTCAAGGGGTAGTTGATTTTGGGCGCCCAAAAGTTTCTTAAAGCTCGAAGCTCGAGCTATGAGTACCCAAAAATTAAGTACAATTTTTGGGCCGCGTTTTTAGCGAAATCCACCAAAATCCGAATTGTGAGTGAACAGGACGTCGGAACTGTGTACCGACAAAGAGAATGTGGTAGTCCCCGAAAGGCGAAAAGATCCTATTGCTGGTGGAGTCAAAACATCAAACTCTGATTGCTGGTGAACGGGACGTCGGAGGCGGGTACCGACAAAGGGAATATGATAACCCCCGACGAGATCTTATTCATGGTGGACTCAAAACTTCAAACGCGAATTGCGGGTGAATGCGACGTCGGAAATGGGTACCGACAAAGAGAATGTGGTAGCCTTCCACAAGATCTTACTAATGGCACAGATATACGTAACGTGTAGGTATACCTGTGCTAATGGTAGACTCAAAACTTCAAATCCAAATTGCGGGTAAGCGAGACGTCGGAGGTGGGTACCGACAAAGGGAATATAGTAACCCCGACGAGATCTTCGACATTGATGTTAAGTTAAGAATGAAACTAAACACAATTCAATTTGCATAAAAAGCAAGCAAAAAGCTTTTAGAAATTATCGAACGTCTGATGCATATCATATACCATGGTAACTAACAGATTACTACTTTATGGCGTCTCGATAAAAGGTTCGCCACACTGCCCCCCTCTTAAAACTGTTGTCTCTCGGAACACGGACGACTCTCGCTCTATCACGTTATTTCAATGGGGGTATTTCCACGATGCATCTTTCATTTTCAAAGAAGATGGTCGCGGGGATCCTCTGGGATTGAAACACCTGTTGGTGATCTGGGCACAATATCAGTATAGTGTTTCTGAACGTATAGTGTCCCTAGTCGCCGATATGGGCCATCAAAAAATCCTGTCGGCGTTGTGGGCACTCGGCGAAGTGTCCTAGACATTAGATATGTGACCAAAGAAGAAGAAAATGAAGTATTTTTGTTTGTATCTGCACAATATAGAGTATAGCAAGAATTTTGGGATTTATTTTAGATGATTTACATAAATAATTATTAATAATACGTACACTACCACATACCAACCCTCAACAAACGTTTGCAATGCAGAGGTTTCTAAAATTCAAAGGTGGCGAGGCTAACTACAGCCCAAATTTTTGAATTTTGAATAATTAAATATCGATCAACCAACAAACGTGAAAATGTAACTAAAAAACACCAACAAACGAGCCACGAACAATTGCAATAAAAATATTTTGAAAATTCAAAAAAGTGGGGGGTTAACTATACGCCCAAATTTTTGAATTTTGGGTAATTAAGTAACGATCAACCAACAAACGTAAAAATGTAACTAACAAACACCAACAAACGATCAACAAACGATTGCAATACCAATATTTTGAAAATTCAAAGAGTGGGGGGTTACTATACGTCCATATTTTTGAATTTTGATTAAATGTTGAACCTGGTGTTAGATTTGCTTGTATTCCAAGTGCATATGTATCAAATTAAAACTAAATTTTGAAACTGGTGTTATATTTGCTTTTATTCAAAGTGTATATGTATCAAATATCATTTGAATACCTTTATAAATAAAAAAGTTTGCAACTCGGTTTGTAATGTTCGAGTCGAAAAGGGCACTGTGAATGTTGAATCGATTAGGCTCAACTTTTGGCGTGTGTATTATCATAGAGTAAATATATTATTTACTCTATGGTATTATATAGCGAAAGCTATGCCCATATTAAATTTCATGCTATTCGGCTCATAAATAACGGAGATGTCAAAAGGGTCTCCCTTATTTTTTGGCCTACATTGCCAATTCACGAATTCTGATCTACAAATTTGATAAAGAATCCACCTGTAAATTTTCATTGTAATCGGTCCATTCTTGTTCGAGATATCGTGCTAACGACAGACAGGCGGATAGACGGACAGACACCTACTCCATATAAATATATTACAATAAGTACCTGACTTTTTTATAGATGTAATTTTTCGAAAAGCGAAATCTTCAGTACCTAGTGTACTCATTTCAAGTTTGATTAATGTCTTTAAAAACTCGGTCAAAATTAAATGGATGACAATTGCTACTACTAAATGTACCGTCTACCGTCTATACATTGTAGTAATTAGTAGTATAGCTATTGGAATTTTAGAAGCAATCGAAGCAGAAAGTATTCTTATAACATTGTTTAAAGTTCCGTTGCATATAGAAAATAAAAGTAATAACATGATGTTAAAAAAAGTTTAATTTCAAAAGTGCAAACACGTTAAAATGATATTTAAGCGAAATGATCATTACCACGCTTTTGCAATAAAGATAATAAGCAACCGGTATAAGTACTAGTTTCATGTTGGTCACTGGGGCAACTCCAACTGTCTATTCATGCAAAGAACTTAAGCAGTTGATATACCGGAGTTGTATCTCCAAGTAGACATAAATTTCAATTTACGCTTTAATAACAAAGTAAATGTATGTAATTTGTTTACGTTTAACGGAAAAAAATCGGCGACGTTGACGTTAATACTAATCAGTCTGATGCACATAGTTAGGTAGTGTTATTTCGCTCTTCGGACAACTAGCAGGGATCCTCGCGGTTTAAACTTTCAGTGTTTGTGTTATGCGCGAATATAAATAAGCGTGATAATGCGCTCGAACGTTTGTTTCGCAATTTTGTTATTCAATGTTCTTCAAATTGTGCTGGCAGAAGAATCTGCCCACTATCTACAACGGGCGATTTGGAATTTGGAAAATAAAGTAAACGAAAATCACGCCAAGCGTCGTCTGGACACTTTGCATTTAAAACCATCCAATGTGAAGATAAAGAAGAACCCCAAAATACCCGCGTTGTCCTTAACAAAAGGGGAACTTTCCTCACTCTATGAGGCAGCTGTCGCCAATAATCAATTTATTCAATCGGATGATCCAAGCAATCCATACTCCAACACTGTTATTCATGAACTGAAAGACCACGAACCAAAAGGGACTTCGAAAACCGAAGAACACGATGGATATTATTACTATTACTACCCAATTAGCAGCTTTTTGGATGGTACTGCTGCTCACAGTCACGTAAGAAAGAGTATTATATTAATCGCTCTGCTTGGACAATATGATCATAGACCTAGCAGCATATAATTTTGAGTTATTTACCCTCAAACATCAATCTACCGTCAAAGATGTCCTTTTTCTGTTAATGTTGGTATTTTATGTTTCATAGCAATCAGTGTTTAGGTTTTCGTTTTGATACAAAACTTCCTTCTTTTTTTGTTAGGTGACTTGCAGGCGTCTTCGGCGTCTACCGGACATGTCTCCTTGCAACACGATTTTGAAATCTAATTGAATCAATTACATACTAAGTATGGTAACTGGTTAACTAATTTTTTTGTGCCTCCAAGTCACCAAATGAGGTTTACCAATTATGTCTAATGGTAAAAGCCTTACCGCACAGTCTTATTAGATGTGTGTTAATAGAGCCATTAGATAAACTATAGTAATTAATATGAAAGATAATTGCAAATTTAAAACTTAGAGGTGATATATTCTCTATGATGGGCATTTATATTTCAGGATTTCCGCAATTAACCTTAAGGGAGTATAAATATTGTGAAAGCAAACCAGAAAAGTAGATCGCCGTCATTAGACATGCTCAATTACAAAATTTCAATTATCTGTGTACAATGGCATTTTATGCACAGATAATGGTTACGTAAAATAGATGCCGTTATTATATATTTCACTTGTGTCATCGTTTTTTTCACAAAATTCTACATATCGTTCGTCACACTAAAGGGTGGTTACAGTAGCGTGCACTTTAATTGGGTACTTGAAAACTAAATTACGTCTTTGAGATCATAACGATCCTGTAAGGAAAAGTGGTAAAAATATGCGAGGTCTGCTTTCTCATGTGGTCTCGTAAAATTTGGAATCTCCAGATTAGTAGGTCACTTAAGAACAAGTTCGTCAAGAAGCTGCATATATGTAACACTTCGTCGATATAATTAAACGTTTTTTATTGATTACGTATGTACCTATAATCTAAATTCATATGAGACATATTATCGCATAACGGAATGACAAATTAATGGCTTTTATTGCAGAATGTACTAGGACATGACGTTTACTATGCATGAAGTTCTTTTTTGACGTACTTCCAGTACAGAGTGCCTATGTAATTATAGACTTCTTGATATACTTTAATAATTCATATCAATTCTTAACCCAATCCATTTTGTACAATGTCAACCAACAGCGACACAAAATTCCTATACCTACGTAAGAAATGCCTAACATAATAATTAGGACGAACTCTAGCGCAGCGTTTCCCATACTTTTTTGTTCATTTGAAATCTATGGTCATTGGTCAGTCAATGTTAGAGCAACGTTAGGGTTATCTGCGTTAATTAAAAACATTAAATTTTGCACTCATAGGTTGGAAATTGCCGAAATGCATACAGAGCAGTTTTTATAATCAGCTATAATCTTCTTTATCGTCTTCAACTTTATTTTTGGACTTCTTCAGTTTCTCTTTGGGTTTCTTATTTCACCTGTCGGTGGATGTCTGTTTCATTTTCTTCTTCAGTTTTCCTTTAGTTCCTAGTTTAGTTTCTATTTCGGCAGCTGCTTTATTCTTTTTCGGTTTATTCGCCTTTTCTCCAGAGTTTTGTTCAATTTTAGATTCTTGTTCAGATTTTTCAACGTCCTCTTAACACAACGCGTCTGCTTCTTCTTCACTTTCTGCTTCAATTGCTCCATTAAATTCTTGAAATTTTTCTTTACTTTTCCCAGTTCCTACTCGGGTCTACAACATTCTCGAAAAGTTAAAGGGGCCGGTACTACGCTTTTAAAAACAACTTTTTGACCGAATAATTAAGCTTCATTATCGTTTATAACATACCGAGATCGTGTTGTTCATCTTCCTATTCGGATTCTCCATGGTCAGCTTCTTTTTCAACATTGTTTTCCTCACCTTTTTCTTCAGCTTTATTTTCAGTCACTTCTAACATTTTCTTTATCTTCATGAACTTACCGTTGTCTCTTCTGCTTCGCGTTGTCGTTCAGTTTTCGTCACATCTTTCCTTCTTCAACTTCTTCTTCTTTTCTAACTTTCTTTTAACATTTACATCTTCACTTTCTTCGTGGAACTCTTTTTGAACTCAGATTCTTTGTAACCTTCATCGGCAGATTCGTTTTCAGTTGCTTCTTTAATATCTTCCTCAATTTTTTCTTCGACTTTTTGTCGACTGGTCGAAGGTCTGATTTATGTAAATTACTGCCGGGATTTAGATAAGCATAAACAATACGATACAATACTTCTATGTTGGGTAGTTTTACACTTCCGCCACTTTCCTTTAATGGACTCATCGCTTGTCTAATATTCTTCAACTTTCTATGTATTAACGTCTCATTCAATCACTACTTTTTCATCTACTTTCTTGTTTAGATGCGACTTCTTCTTCAGTTGTTCCCTTTTTACATATTATTATTGTTTTTCTTTCGTTCCTTCATCTTCTTTTGTTAACTGCATCTTCAAGGTCTTCTCCTTCAGTTTTTCTTTCAACTTGTTCTATAGGTTTTTTAAATCCTACCAACCTCTTTCAACCTCCATTAGCTTCTACTTAAGTAATCCTTATTTAGATTTCCGCTCTGATTCTTATTTAACCTCTTATTCAACTTCTTGCTTAGCATTTCATTCTGGTTCTCATTCAGTTCTACCATAAGCTTCTGTTTCAGCTTTCCCTTCACCTTCTTGGTCTATTTACATTTCTCTTCTAATATCTTTACAACACGCGTTCGAAATCATTTGGTTTGTACAAACTATAACTGTTCTATGCGACTTCGGTTCAAGATCAGTGGCTGACGGGGGGGGGGAAGGCGCAGGGGTAGAAATGAAGTTTATCTTTCATGGTATTCTAATTAAAGGTCTCAACAAAAGGTACTGTTCTCTTTTTTCTTACTCTTTATCAAAATAGGGGGGGGGGGGTCAGTTATAATTCCTTATACCTCAAGAGCGGATTGTCGATATGGAGGGTACCTAATCACAAAGAAAGATTAGAACGTCTGGAAGAAATATATTCATTGGTGATGTCAAAACTTTAAAAACAAATACCTACCTCTAAAACGATTTGTTGGAAGAGGGTATTACTCATAAAGGGCAAGTGGTACGTCTGGTGAGATACCATTTAATTGTGAATATCTCGAACGCACTACCTTGCCCACCCTGAGGAGCCGCCACTGGAACGCAGTACCTTCATTCATCGCTTATGGTCTTACATACAATATCAAATATTAATGCATTTAATCATTGTACTTAACGTCTTTTTTTTGTGACTTCCGGTTTTCAAAGGTAATGCGATTTGTTACAAGTATTGGTGTCGCATTTAAAAACAAAAGTTCAAGTTATTTCCAGTCTAAATCGAAAGTCGAAAAAAGAAGACATTACGATTATTAAATGCATTAAGTAATATTTGTTATAAAGCGCAACAATTATTAACAAAATTGCTTATATAGCGTAGATAATCGATTGTTCCGGGATTTTTTACTTACCCTGTTTACAGATGAGATCCACCTACCCCATTCGTTAGAAGCGCTTCTAACACAGAGGTGCGAATTGAAATAAAATAATTTTACTTAAATACCGGAAGTTGGCGCCAGCTTGTTTTTTATTAGAAACATACCTTTTTTAATTTTAATTCTAAAATAACAATCTTGAAGGGTTAAAGGGATTTCCTTTTTTGAATGGACCCTTGCAAGTTGCATCTCGAAATTTTTAGAGAAAAATTGACATGTATTACTAAGATTTGATTCAAATGACATTTCAAATGAAGGAAAGGATCGCTTCTAAAGCCTACCACACCTAATGAAAAAATAAAAATATTTATAAACACAGAATATTAATTAAATGGCCCTAAAATTCAAATCTATTCATTTATTTCTGGCTTCAGAAATACCTACTGGTTGCAATTTGAATACCTGAAGTTTTTGACATTTTTATTGCTAATTTTGAAAAATCGCAGCAGCCCTGGACACTTTTTCAAAACTTTACTTTTAGCGGCTACTCAAAAAACTCCTTACATTCGATTATAAAAAAAGACCTCACTTAAACGGTTAAGAGATAAGAATTTTTGAATGGACCCTTGCATCTCCTGATTTTTAGAGTAAAATTGAGAGATACTTATGTCAAAAACCATGACAGCTAGGTCCGCAATAATTTTAAATCAGCAGAATGTTCTGCAGATTTTTTGTCTTGGTGCAGTCCATGCTTCGCAGTATACTTCTTAATTAGCAAGGCGCCAGCCATTATGCCCAAAAATAGACTAAATATAGTTTGAGAATTGAGTAACTGCCTTCCACTACACAGTGTAGTTACCTAATCATAGTTTTTCTTCTCGATTACCTACTAGTAATATTTTGACATAAGCTAAAGGTAATTTTTTAGGTAATACCATCAGAACCTCAATACGTCGAACCTGACAGTCACAACGCACAATACCATGCCCACACACATCAAGTAAGTTCCTAAATGACGCTGAAGCATTTTTTCACAGTTTTTCTATTAGCATAACGTGCATATATCGACAACCAAAAGTCCAGCGTACGACAAAAAGCGAGTTATGGAACCCTTATTCATGGCATTATCAAGTTTCATCGGCATGGCCGTCATGTTCGTGTTATCAATAATCTTCCTTCCGAAATTTGGCGGAACGAAATCTCGAGGTGTGAAAGGATCCGAAGAGGAAATGAACAACTTTGCTCATGTGATCTTGCAAGCCATCGAAGGTGACGATTGTTCGGATAGAGTCGTCTGCGAGTTTGGTAAAGTGGCCAGAGCCTTTAATATCCACAACAATCGGTTTTTTAAGTAATCGGCTTAATCTCATGTTGATCCATCTATTAATGACTATTTTTTTAGGTTGTTTAGACGTCTGTCTCCCAAAAAAATCGGATGGTATGTTAATAGAATAGAGAAATATTCCGATAAAAATATTAAGTGTTCCACCATACCTTGTAAAGGGAAAAATAATACCAAAGTGAAAAGACATAAGAAATAATTTTATGTAGTCAATTGTAGTTTAAGTTATTTATTTGTTATTTATTAGTTTATTTATTTTTTGTAGATTTAAGGTTGTGATTCCTTTATGTAGGTGCAATAAAAGAACTGCAGGTTGAAGACCTATAGATAGGGCGAGTCATATACATTCTACGTACTTAACAATGTTGGTCCCAACATTTAAATGGTTATGTGAATGGTATGTTATTAAATAACCCCACAATTTGAACGTGAAATACAATAGTCATAAAACAGCAGAGCAATCCGCTCACAAAATATTCAGGAAAGAGTTTTTAACTTAAAATGGCAAAACTGCATTTTGGCAATACCTATTTTGTAACCATACTTGCATACCATCAGTTTTTATCACTAAACTGATACTGAACCGAGACGCAAATGCGATGGGAAAGAGTTGATGTGGAAGCCTTTAGAGAAAGGCCAAGAACTTCCCCTGTTCTGAGATTTTTTTCAAATCTTACGAACCAACGGTAGCCTCGATTAAAAAAGGAAGATAATGGCATATTTGAAAAAGAAGTGTCAAAAAGGCTTTCATCCGAGTTCATTTACATGGTCGAGGATAGTTCTGAATCAGTACGTACTAAAAATGTCTCCGCAGGACAATTGCGATTGAATTGTAAGTTGATGTATTTCATTGAACGGGATCTTTTTCCGGAAACTTTCTATTTACCGCATTTGATAATGTTATTATACTCATTTCCGGAAATGGTTTATTTATTACTGCATAAAATAATATTATACTCTCGTAACGACAGTATAAAAAATCGGGTTAAGGCTAATCTAGTAGAAAGCGGAAATCAGTGACAAAAAGGCGAAATTGATGTAAGAATTAGTTATTGTGCTTATAACTATATATGGTTCTCGATAACATTTCTTACTCAAGAAGGGAGTTTGTTTATTTTATCACATTCATTTTAGCACAAAATCGGTACATAAGAACCATCAACTGTTAAACAATCTTCCGCTAAAATTTGAAGAGAATTAATAAACAATGTAAGTTTGTGGATGCGTGACAATTTTATTGCGCCATTTAGTCGGCGCATGCGCATGCGCAGTCTATTTTTCATGTACGTTTATTTTTTAAGGAAAGTTTCCCTTAAAATAAATAATGACCCCAACCGTGGTTGCCAACAGAACCAATTTTATTGGCTCTATCAATGCATTTAACCGCTTCCTCATTCAAATTTTCGGTTTCGTTGGTCCAAAATGATCGCTAAAGTAGAGCAAGGTTCAAGTTAAGTGTTGGCTAATCAAAATTCAAAATGCAAAAAACGTATCAAAAGTTAAAAATTATTAGAAGCGCAAAAACAGATTTTTTGCTATAATTATCTTTGTAAGAGAATTTTTCTTATTGTTTTCTTGGTGAAAGCCTCGACGTTCAAACGAACCAAACAGCAAAAGAGTAGCTCGATCTGAAAGCGAGACAGCCGTAGGGACGAACAGATGGACGAACGGATGAAAATTTGAATATTTTTGTGGAAAAGCGCTAAGATCTGGGCTCTGCGTTCGCGCAATCCATTTTCTGACATAGTTTTTAATTTTCTTTTATAATAAGCATCTTCTGTTCAAATTTCAGAAAAATTGGTTCACAAATCAAAAAGTTAAATTTGCGCATGCGCAATCTATTTTTTTATGGATATATGCGTCCACCAGTACACCATTACATACCACCTTCTGTTAAAATTTTCGAATAATCCGTCTACAAATATAAAAGTTGACTCTGACCAACCGCGCTATTCCTTGACGTGTGTTTTTAGTTCGTTTACTTTCAGAAAAATACGTCCACAAGTAAGATTTTCCAACGTGTTTCGTTTGGCAGCCACCCCCAAAGAAGTGTTGAAATTTGGATGTCTTCTTTAATTTTTTTCGCAGCAACCCCAACCATAAGAGTTACAAAGATGGGTGGCCCATATTGGATAGGTTTTCAGGTATGCCCTATCCGATTTTAATATAAAAAATTTCAAAATTCCTACCACGAAAGGGCGAAGGGTTTTTTAAAATAACATTTCAAACAAAAGTTATACTTATATTTCAAGATTGGGCTTTCGAGTTAGGTATAAAGTGTCTCCCGCCTACTAGTGAGTGATCTACTTTCGCATGTAGTTAATTGAAAATGTCGCAAATAAAAAAATAACGATTTAAGTCGATATTATGATTAAATGATCACAAAAAATTCGATATATCGATCATGGTATTCACTTCTGCAAATTCGATTCCAAAAATTCCGTGGCTGCGAGTAGTGGGAAAATACTTTTTAACAATCAATAAGCATTATTGCAACTATCATATATCGACTTAAATCGTTCATTTTTTGTTATTTGCAACATTTTCAATTAACTACATGCGAAATTAGATCACTCAAGAGTAGGCGGGGGACACTTTGTAACCTGAAAACCCAATCTTCAAATGAGTGTAACTTTTGTTTGAAAAGTGATTTTAAAAAACTTATTCAAAGGCGTGCCACCAATCTTTTTAACTCTTATGGTTGCTGAGAAAAAAATTAAAGAAGAAATTCAAATTTCACCACTTTGTGGGGGTGGCTCCCAAACGAAACACGTTGGACCCTCGGTTTATTTTGAAAAAATGCTTGTTTTGATCCCCTCTATAGAACGGGAACCGTCAATTTCAGACCGTTTAGGCTAGGCAAAATTAAAACGAAATTTGACATTTTCAATGTAATATCTCAGTTATTTTCAAAGATTTTTCAAAAATTTTTTTTTGCAAAAAAGGCAACTTTGTCCCATTCAAAGGGTCTGAAACAACCAGTTTTAAGCAGATTCTTAAACTTACCGTAGACTGTAATTTCGCAAGTCACATTTTTCAAACCGAAGTCCATCGCCGTGCATTTGTTTCAAATCTAGGCGTAGACTTTTTGGGTTCCAGCCAAAGGTCCGATTCACGTATAACATATTAGATAACAGATAAAGTACACTGCTATGAATTTAATAATAAAACAATATATTTAAAAAATGTTTCAAAACCCACTCGTCGGTATTACCGCTGTAAATGAGTAACGGGCAAGTATAGACCCTAGCAGCTATCAATTAGCGAAAACCCGAAGTCTCTAGGTGGCCCAAAAGCCGAGATCTCGATGGGTCAGACAGACAGACAGACGACGGAAAATCGAGCACGTAAACGTTACCTCAACTTCGTTGTGTAAATAAATTCATTTTTAGTATTATTATTACTATAGGGGAACTAGTCGCGATTTTAATCTGACAATTTATAATATGAAAATATTACCCCTCCCCCCTTGAATTATGAGCATCCCCTAGAACATTTTAAATTAAAAATATGTATTTTTGCTAAATAATCGCTTCTTATATACTCTACTTGTGCATAAGATTAGTTTTCCAAAATTTATTGAATTTTCCGGATGGTTAAACGCTTTGTCAGTTTTTTTGTTTTTTATTGTATTTTATTCCTTGACAGTAGAAATAAACGCCAAGCAATGGTTAAAAATATTAAAATTAAAGCACTAATTTTCGCTTTGATTCATTGTCTACAAAAACCGTTTATTTAAGATCTAGAAATGTATTATTACAAACTGCCCTTTCTTACAGGTTTGATTTTTGCATTTTTTAAACTGCTAAATTTAAATTGTTGAACAGTTATAAGACATTAGGCAAGGCTTGGCACTTTTGAATAAAGCTATGAAAATTGGCACATATGCTCTTTCACACTTCCTCTTAAAGTTCCGACGTGGCGCCACGCTCATTAGCACCTGGAACCCCCAATAGGGATTGCTTACACAAATGCTGATTGGTAATTACTGGACCATTTTGGCATTTTTCCTCTCTAGTAAGCTCCACGGTTGCGAGACACATAGAATTTAGGGCCGACTACAGTTGCCTACTTTCGAAAATTGTTTGTCTTTTACAAGAGACAATCAAATAATCGGGAGACCACTCAATTTTTTTTACATGCGGTCATGTAACACCCTGTATAACCGCGTATGATACCAATGCCACAGATTAAATACAAAAATCTGTGCCAATGCGTAAATTTAGTGCTTTCCATTTGAGTGCGTGAAGCTCTGGTGCAGTTCGTTCGGAGCAGCTCATTTTGCAAGTTGTTCATTTTTAACACATTTGAATTGACATTCACAGTACGTAAATAACCACAAAAGTGTTACAAGCCCCAAGAAAATAGGTGGTGCATGAGGGGACAAGGGAAATCCAATTTCGGGCGCGTCAGAGCTCGAAGCTTTCTTAAAAGGAACACAGGGCATCGTGCACGGTACAGCTTAGAGCTCCTCTTTCACTCAAATGGAAAGCAGTAGTTACCATGAAAGAGAGATACCCTATTCCTTAGTTGTGAAAATTGTATTTATGCGCCAACTCCATAAATAGATACATTTCACCGCCTACTTTTAATTAGCGCTAATTTCAAATTTCATAACCTATAACTTGAAAACAGAAACGATTAATTTGTGCAATTACCATACCATAAAACCTTATTTCCGTAAAATTGTGATGGGAGGTTTTAAAAAAAGAGAGTGGAACTGTTTTTAGTGATCTACTTCTACTGCTTATTCTTGAATTATACAAAACATCATTAATTAAACAGTCTTATTTTACTACCTTAAATAAGTCTTACAAAACTAGTTACACAAAATTTATGGTACAAGTAAAAAAATTCCTAGTTATCATTAAAGCATACAAAAATTGTACAGTCAATTCATATCAATTGTGAAAGATGTTAATGTTGAACTGATACAAGCTGAGAATAAATTGGCAGTTAGATCACCTGATATGGACCGACGTAAAATATAATTTTACTTTTAAAGTTCATCTTTTGCATCTAGGTCAACATCTGATAAATCTATGTCTTCTTCCATTGGCAGTTCTCCATCTTTTCCATCCCAGGCTTCAATTGTGGCAATCTTAGGAAGCTCACCTCCTCTTACTGGTGCTGTACTACCTCGTCCGTAGGACAGATCTCTGCCATGTTAAATTTTGATTACTGGATGAGTTTTCAACAGAAATGAGAGATTTACCTTAAAAATTCATTGATTCCTTCCTTGGAGAATGCACCTCGTAATAAAGAATACTTCATCTTTTTCACATTAATAACGGCCATCGCTGGGTAACCAAATCCACCAATGTCTAAAGCATTCTCTAAATCACCCTGGGCACCAGCTTCGCTCCACACCCATCCCCACATTTTCTTCTTATATTTTTCACCCATATCATTAAGAACATTTAAGTACTGATTACGGCAATCAGCTTGACAATCCAAAATGTGTGGCAATACGGAAATAACACACAACGGTTTTTGATCACAGTCCTCTTTGAACAAGTCTTCGTTCAAAATCTAAAAAATTTCTCCAATTACACTCACGCTCAAACATAAAAGAAATGACCTACCTGTCTAATTTCAGGTGCCGGAATATTTTCGGAAACCTTATCCAAAGCCCAATTTATTATATCTTTCGATGTACGCCCACCATCATACTCCTCGTCCGATTGCTTAGTTTTCTTGCCAGCCGGAAAATATTTAATTGTGGGGTAGCCCTTAATTCCATACTGGGCAGCCTTTTGTGAGTGAACAGTCGCATCCAAAGCACCCATTTTTACTTTTCCTTTTAGCTCGGTAGCAGCCGATGCCCACTCCGGTGCCAAATTTTTACAATGCCCGCACCACGGCGCAAAGAATTCAACCAACCACATATCGTCAGAGTTAATAACCAGTTTATCAAAGTTATCATCTGTTAGTTCGATTACATCATCGCTGCTTGAGGACTAAAATAATTATTATAGGTGGGATACAAACTGTACGAGTTTACCTTTGAGCCTGATCCGCCTCCACTAGATTTACCACCCAAATTCGCATTTACCTTACTTCGAACTGCAGCCAAGGCGGCATCGACGAGACCTTGTGCAGTGCGTTGACCATTATAGTCTTCTGGTTTATTTTTATTCGTGCCGAAAATTTTAATACTTGGGAAGCCTCGCACGCCGTACCTGCCACCTAAGCTGTTGTGCTCGTCCGCATTTACCGCTCCAACTTTTACAACACCCTTCAACGCATTCGCCGCTTTCTGATATTCGGGTACGAGCTGCTGACAATGACCGCACCACGGTGCAAAGAATTCGACTATCCAGATTTCATCGCCGTTTATAACCAATTTATCGAAATTTGAGGGTGTAAGTTCCACTACATTTGAACTGGCGGGATACAGTGCTTGACATGTAGAAACAAATAATCCAAAAGCTAAATAAACAATTAGTATGAAAAGCTTCCAAATTATTTGCGCTCTCACCAAAAATTTGCCACATTTTTAATATTTATTTTGACCCGAACGACGAATTATTAACTAATGATATCTCTAAATACATTAAGCCGGTAATGCTCAAAAATCCGCCAACATGAAATTCGTGGTGGATTTTCATTGGATTGTAAAATGTACACATGTAATCTGCCATTTACGGAAGATGTCATCTACTTCTGCCATCTGTCGGCATCAAATGACTTGAACCTCAACACTGTTATGCAACTAACAATACTGATATTTGAAAATTTAAAGGTGCTATACCAAAGTGTACGAAATGTTAATAACTACCATATTTTTCATTTAAAAAATAGAAAAAAAAATCTGCGCCGGAAAACCTAAAGCCCGAGACCTTTGTATACTGAATAGTAAGTAAGTCCGTGTTTAGTAGTAGTATTGGCAATAGTTCTTTTTTTGTCACTTTTTGTGAACCCAGTAAATTTTGAGTCTCTTGTTAGTTTCAGCAAGCAAACATTTTAAAAAGTGTAATTACAATTTAGTTATTTTGGAGTCGTTTTGTACTGTTGTGTAAGTCATACTGGTCAACCTGGCGAGTTACACGGTAATTTTTTTGGCATCAAATAGCAAATAGTTACGGTCAATTTACGCGTGCGGTGAAAGCACCCATCGGGCGCGTCCCCGAGTGCCCATACAGACACCGGAATGATCGTAAAGTAACTCGTGCTTAAGCGTGGGTAGTGACGATTATAAGTGGTTACTCGGGGGTAAAACCCAGACTGGTAGTAACGAACGCCCTCGCCTCGGACCAACCTCCCAAATCAAGGTGTTAGCGACCGTGCCAAGAACTGCGTGGTGCCGAGGCCAGGGCAGCCTAAAAAGAAGCCTGGGAGCACCCAAAGTTACGGGTGCACCACGAACCTAAGAGCATGTCGCTGCGGTGGGGCTCAGGGTGGCCATCGTTCCAGTATTACACCCGGAGGTGGACATCACTGAGCCTCAGTCGAGGTGCATTATGGCTGCATTGAATCCAGTTGTGGACGGGTTGGAGGAGGGGGGGGGATTTTTTCGGCTGGCAGGGTTACGCTGGAATACGCAGGGTGACACTGTATCCTAATGCGAGGACCAGTGAACCTTCCCTCTTATTAGGCCCTGAGATGGCGCTAAGGTGATCTTGAAGCGCCTCCAGAGGCAAAATCCTGGTTTCAAGACGAGCCTATGGAGGGCCTTCTTCCGCGGGTAGGAGCCTGATAGGGCCCTCCTCGCATTTGGTGTCGATGAGGCATCCTATGAGGCACACCAGCGGCAGAACTTTCAGGCACACGCCCGGGGTTTCGTGCGTCACTTTTGTCACGAAAGCGAGTGCGCCGACTGCGCCAGGTAATAAAGAGAACTTCATCGGAGCAGCGGGACACAGTGCCGTTGCGCGTTATCGACCCCGAAGAGGCGTCGGGATTACTACCGCGCCCTCGAGAAAGATGTCGAAGAGCTTTTGGCTCGTGTGGTGGTTCTTGGCTCCGACATCTAGTACATCAGTGATGGACAGGGTAACCTTCTTTCAGAGCATTTTTTTTAAATGGATTGCATTACATTTTTTAAAAATACTCCTATATCATTGTTTAATAAAGTATTTAAACAATGTCTATATACAATCACTCGTTTTTGAAATTTTCTTCTGAAATTAATGTCCAGCCAAACTAGGGAAACAAGCGTTGATTAGGTGATATCTACCTGTTTTACTAGTTTAGACACGGCCCACTATATCGATATTAGTATCTAAAGTATCTGATGGGTTGGAATGATATGAAAAAGTGGATAAATATGAAGAACCGAAAAAAAAAGGAAGAATGCAAAGATTTCAAATCTGATTTGAAGAATCCCAAACATCCAAAAAAATTGATAATTAAAATATATTGAACAACCCGAAAACTTGAAACATTTGAAGAATTTGCCAAATTTCGAAGATTTGAAGAATCAAAATTCTAAAGGAGTTTAAAAACAATCGAACGAATAGAAATACTCGAAAAATTTCAAAATTAAAATTCGCGTTTATAATGTCCGAAAATACAGAAAAATGTAGAGAAACCGAATACCGCAAAAATGTTGCGGAGAATAATAATAGTAAAATGTGAAGGGTTTGAAGAAACTAAAGAAAATTGCGAAAAATCCTAAAATTTAAATTTAAAAATGCTAATGAATTCAAAGAAACGGAATAATACCCAAAGTTTTCAGAACCAAAATCCAAAAAATATAAAATCGACAAAAATGGGATAAAAACAATTCGAAAAATCAGACACCGATGAATAGGAAAATCCGATGAAATAATAAAGAATTTGAATAGATCATAAGAATCTGAGACCTTACCAAGTTGCCTAACGAATTTTGCATTCCGAAGAAAATAAAGAATCTGGACAGTTCAAAAGAACAGAAGAATCTGATGTATTCGAGCAATCCGAAGGATCGAAAGAATAATTTTTCTCTTGTGTATTGTGTAATATAGGGCATCAAAAGAAACATTTTTTCAAATAAATCGAAAGTCCAAAGGGTATAGCTATCGCAAATCAAAGGGTTTTTTTTTAGTCCATTGGGCTAATAGGGTACGTTCTGGGTTTCGGAATAATTAACGACTCATTTCGTTATTGTGCCATGTATTGCAGTTGTTCTAGTTAATTTTTGAGAAAGAAATACATATTCAATTTGGCTCTTCGCTCTTGACTTTACAATGCAAACTTACGCTTTTGTGTGTCGCCCATGTACGTTGATTCGTCCTGTTTAACACGAACATCCTGTACATAGTATCGAATATTTGCAATTTTGATTGGCAGCACTGCAATATGACGTTTAGTGTCAAGTGTCAAAGAGTTCCTTTTCAAATTTCATTTTTCAACATATGTTGTAAAATTTGTTAAATTACATTTACTAAATTAGTAACAATGGGTACGCTCGTCGAATTGCAAGCTAAAATAGCGGAGTTGGAAGAGAAATTAAAAGCAGCCCAACAATTTGTGGTTAAACGAGAGAAAATCGATGTAATGTCTTCGGAAGTAGTGGATACAAATCCCTACAGGTAATAATTGGACTGTGTGTGTGGAAAATAAGTAAAATTCCTATTTTTTAGTCGTTTAATGGCGTTAAAGCGAATGGGAATCGTAGACAATTATGAGAGCATACGTAATTTCACAGTTGCTGTTGTTGGAGTTGGTGGAGTTGGGAGTGTCACAGCTGAAATGTTAACCCGTTGCGGTATAGGACGTCTATTATTATTTGATTATGACAAAGTTGAATTAGCCAATATGAACCGTTTATTCTTCCAACCTCATCAAGCAGGTATTAGTAAAGTTGAAGCCGCCGCTCAAACTTTAAGAAACATCAATCCTGATGTTGACATTCAGACCTACAATTATAATATAACAACTGTAGACAACTTCCAACACTTTATGGATACCATATCGTAAAGCCCTTTAATTATATATCACAGGATTACAATTTACTTTCAGCACGCAAAGTCTAACTGGTGGAAATGTAGATTTATTACTAAGTTGTGTTGATAACTTTGAAGCACGATACGCTATTAATACTGCATGTAACGAACTAAATCAAATTTGGATCGAGTCTGGAGTATCGGAAAATGCTGTTTCTGGTCACATTCAATTAATCATTCCTGGTGAAACTGCGTGTTTTGCGGTAGAATTACTGAATACAAAAGCGAACGTATAATTGATAGATGTGTTTTAGTGTGCACCTCCTTTAGTTGTTGCCTCGCACATTGACGAGAAAACCTTAAAAAAGGATGGCGTTTGTGCCGCTAGCCTGCCGACTACGATGGGTATTATTGCCGGTTTATTAGTTCAGAATACTTTGAAGTACTTGCTTAAATTTGGATCTACCGCGAATTATTTAGGATACAGTGCGCTAATAGACTTCTTTCCTACCATGAAATTAAAGCCTAATCCGTCGTGCGATGACAGCTATTGTAAAATTAGACAAACAGAGTTTTCTAGTAAGCCAAAATTGATAACGGACGATCAAAAAGTTGAAGAGGAAAAACCTCTACATGAGGACAATAATTGGGGAATTAGTTTAGTAGATGAAAGTCTTCCGGAAGGGGACTGTAAAGAGGAAATAGCTACGGGTATTAGTTTAGCTTATGCTTTACCTCGTCAGGATGTTGATGTGAGCCCAGGTTCTGCAAGTGCAGCGGATGGTATTAATCTGGATGACTTGATGGCACAAATGAAATCTATTTAGGTGTTGCTTTTAACTGTATTCACTTTTGTACAACTTTGTATTTGATATAATTTTATTTAATATGGATGAGTCTTTTTTCTACAATCGCCCTGGGCCAAATTTGGAAATCATATACAGCAGTTTACGTTAATTGCATTGGTCAATAACTTATTATACAAGGCAAAGTTATGCAGTTTTTGAGATCGTTTTATCTTGCTTAGATTCTTGCAATGCATTTCGTGAGCAGATTAAAAGTACTCTTTAATCAAAGTCTCAGAATTGTTCAAAGTTGAAGCATCGAATCCAAATTTCCTGCGAGCATGCGCTGTAGCCTATATTGGCTTTCATTGCAGAGAGTGAGTGCGTGTGCGCGCGCAGTGGGTGTGTTTCCAGAGTATTTTGAAATAAAACATTTTTTGGAGTTTAACTTGACTATTTTACAATTACAAAAATTAATGTAGATAATACTACTATACAATTTTAAACAATTAAAAAGACAACAATAAAATATATGCTACTCAAACGTCAATTAGGGGCAATTCAATTGGAAGGTGTATTATCGGTATTCTACTTTGTAATTATGCGATATTGTATTCTACCCACATTTTTATCGTTCAGGTCGCGCCGATTTTATCACCCGCTATATGAACCTCCGTAGCGATATATCGCCTCAGTATGAACGCCGCCCAAAAAATCCTAATTTCTATTGCCTCGCGTTACTGCGCCCGTTTTACACTCGGCTAAAATTACTGTAGTCGTACCGTACCTATTTTTCGATGTTTGTGTGTTGTAAGTCCATTTGTCTAAATTTTAATAAAACAAAACAGTTCTTGTAAGAACTAAAATTGATATTGCGCGGCCTGAGTCTACATCTTGGTACATATAACAGACTTTCAAACATCCTCAGCACCATCGACATATAGAAATGGACTGCGCATGCCAATGCTAAGCGCAGCGGATACTGCAAGAGAGCGAGAGGGGAAAATTAAGGGTCAAACGCTCTCTCTATCGCGCTTCCATAGCAATGTCGTTTGTATAGTCACCAACAGAAGCGCGATAGAGAGCGCTTGCCGCTTAGTTCCTCTCCCGCTCACCTGCAGTATCCGGGTTTAGCATTCGCACGCGTAGTTCATTTGTCCATTGTCGATGCTCAACACATACTTACAAGGGTGAACCTTCTTTACAGTGGCGCCACCACAAATATTTTAATGGGTTGGCCAAACTAGGACCAATATGTTTTAGGTTGGACCATAATTCACTAGACTTGTATTATGTTATGTACGAGGAGATGAGTACAAGTCAATTAGTAAGGCAAAAGTGATAGGTACAAGGTATTATATTTTAGCACGACTAAGTAAATACGCTATTTAGTACTAACCAAGCAATAGCGTATTATTTAAATGTAATATGTGCTATAATAGGTATATATACCGTATAAGTGATAACGGACGCAGAGAAATCAAGTGCGTACTTTAGCCCATCTTGCTTCATAAACTGGGAATATACATTAGCAAAACAGGGTGAATTTAATTCAACATTTGAACAAATGGGAAAAAAGTGGACGTGAACCGCATTCACGGTGCAATTCGAAATTTGCTCATGGCAGTGGCTATCAATTTTTCAAAGGGGGCCGAACAACACAAATCTGCAGGCGAATTTATCGTGTCATAGAAGTATAAGGGAATTTTAGAACGGGGTACCTAGTGGTTAGCGTATGTTCGTCAAAATGAAAAGACGCTATATTGGTCGTCAGTCCGTCCCTCACACGTACTACGCGATATGGGACTCATTTGAAAAGGCTTGGTTCAAGAATCCGTGCGTACCGATATTTTTGGTTTTGCGCATTCGCAGTGTCAATTTGGTTTAACGCATATTTAATGCTAAATTTTTTATTTATGAATATATTTAAATGAAACTGTATTATGTAAACACTACGAATATAAGTAAAATTAACGACGTTTTCAAAATATTGTTTTGCACATGCGTAATGCAAACTTTCTTATTTACGAAAATATTTATATGAAATTTGATACATAGGCACTTGGAATAAAAGCAAATCTAACCCCAATTTCAAAATTTGATTTTGGGCTTGCGCAATGACAACTTGCGAAAGCGCGCATTTTTTCAATAAAGTATTCCAAGTGTGAATAAAGTATGTCAAAACCTGATACTAAACGTAGTATTAAGATATTTTACAATTGACAATGTATTTGCTTATACTTTTAATTTACCTATATGAAAAACGGACAGGTAGGCCGTAGCACAACTTGTTTGAAACTTAACTTTGGCCATAGGCGATTCATTTGAAAGAGAACGGGGCAAGCACCTCGTACCTACCGGCGCGGTATTTTTTCTGGCCCTATTAATTGGAGGAAAATACATTCTCGTGTCATAATGATTTTGCAACTTATTGTTTTCTTAATCTCTTCGGTCCCGTTTTACCGATGATTTTCTTTAGTGTAGTATTCTAGCTAGGGAGAATTTCGCAATACGGAGAGAACCACAACATTTTTTCGCTCGCAACTTTTTGTAGCCTTTCGCAAACCGTTAATACAAACTTATTCTTTAATTCAGTTCAAAGTTCCGTATTGAAATAATCTTAATTATACAACGTGACATGATTATGTTCACCACATCTGAAAAACTAAGTTAATGATTGGTACTATTACCTTTGTTTATTAAAAGTGAACAAAGCTATTCCTTAATAATTTCTTATACGTGTCTATTTAAATTCCCAATTAAGTTTCTAGTTAACTAACTCGGTCATTTGAACCGAAAAACAAATTAAAGGATAAGTTTAGTAAAATGCACTTAATGTTCTCAGTGATTGCCTTTTAACTGCAGCAGTACTTCCGAATTATAAAAACTTTCCAATATAATTTAGATTGTTTTACGAACTCTGTAAGTGCAGACTTTCACTAATCATTACCTACATCTGAAGAGATAGTAAGGCTAAATAATTACGCGAATTCTTGGAATGTCAGTCAGAAATCCTTCAAAGTAAAGAATCGCGCCGACTTTATTAAAATTTTGTTGTGTGGCTGTGGTAAATCATTATTTTACCGTCCCACTCGCGTGTATAACCGGAACGTCAAGGTAACCACTGTCATTAACAAAACAGAAGCAGAGAACAGAACAGAAATGGCAACATGTAGTGCAGTATTTACATTTGCTGTTCGGTGCTATTTCAGTATTATTAGTGTTAATTTTCGTTATTTATTATTAAATTTTACCCGTAATCTCGCTTTATGAATGGGAAACAATTTCACATTAATTTCGAATTATGTCGAATGATAATCAAAATTCGGCTGCCCAAGAATCTGTGTTGCTCAGTACCTTTTATTGTGGACGTAAAAGATTTAAATTATATTTTCATAGGAACCAAATTGTGTGGGATTATGCCAAGCCCCCATACGGTAAATAAATTCGTCTAGGTCTATCTATTGTTAATTAAGTTTAATTGCAGCACAACATTCTGTGTCAATTGAGGATGTTATCTCCGTTCAATATAAGTGTGTAAGCACCGGACCAGGCAACGATGTTGCCTATGATCCCTACTATTTTATCATTCATTACGCCGAGCAGAAAAAGCCCAATGTGTGGCGGTACAACTCGCTCACATTGCGTCATTGCGATGCGCTACAAGTTTCCTCTTGGGTGAAGACTCTTCAAAATCATTTGCAGAGTGAGTATGCTACGCTGGTGGTTTGATACAATTACCGGTTTCTTAGAATTCTGCAAAAGGCCCAAGAGGTTGCTTCTTTTTGTGAACCCCGTTGGTGGGAAAAGGCGGGCAATGCACATCTACGAGCGCTATGCAAAGCCTCTGTTTCATATTGCCGGAATTGACGTCAGCGTTATAGTATCGCAAAGGCAGAATCAAATACGCGACTTTCTCATTCATCACAATTTGGACATGTTCGATTCTATAGCTTGCGTGGGCGGTGATGGTACCGTGTCGGAAGTATTTAATGGATTAGTTATGCGCGAATGCAGGTTGCACGGCATTGATCCGGATGAGGCGGTGGCACAGCTTCCGAGACCATCAATGCCCATAGGAATTATTCCAGGTAAAAATTTGCTTTTTTGTTATACTTAATTGCAAGGTGATAAGGTTCAAGGTTTTACGCTAGTAATGGGTTATCATGAGTAATTATATGCACGACCTTGATCTTTGAAGCACAACAAAAAATGATAAAACTAATTAAGGATAAAAAAATGTTATTATAACAGAGTTGACATTATTCTGTTTTTCAGTTGGGTAATTGTGCTCATTGAATATTTAACTATATTAAAATGAGGTATTTTGCAAGTTGCAGGTGTTTGTAAACAAAAATATTTCCCTGTTTTGAAATGTATAACAAATAATAGAACCACTTTTTTCTTGTCATATCAAATAATGGATACACCAGGTAAACGCTTCAACTTTGTGAAGTAACCTATGGACTAATTATGTGATTGGATAACGGCAGTGACAGCCAATCAGAGATTAGTATCATTGAATAAGTAATTATAAGTACTTATTCAATGTTAGTATTCAAACAGAATTTCTTTTTCCTTGTCATTTATCTAGTAGGGTAAGTATCCCCGTGTAATTAAAGTACAATTAAATGAAAGCAAAAATGCACAAGTTATATTCAATAATTAAAAATTAATAGTTTGGTGGCTACGTACAGATCACTGTATTACCGACCATATTCAAATTTAAATTTTAACAAGGTACTAATTACATATGATCAGAATCAGAAGCGGAAGCGTAAATACCGTTATAATAAGTAATCATAAAAATTAGGTTTACTAAACTATGCGATAAAACACACAGATTGTCAACAACTAATGAGATGAATGAAAGTCAAAGAAGACAAACAAATCGCCAATCAGAGCGCACCTTGCCACATTTGAAAAATTCCGATATACTTCCGTTATAAAATAGCGGAATCGGAAAGGGATGTGAAAAAATCCAGCACTTCCGCATTTGCGGAAGCGGAAGCAGAGGTCTGTTGCATCACTACAACTTTCATCATTATTACATTCTTGATTTCCCCCTAAACCATCCTTCAAAGCATCAAATGGTTCAATTTTCTACCTCTTACAAAGTGGGGTTGGGTAATACGTATACCACAACAAGTAAATTCCTATCTCATTTTCCAAGGAGCGGTAACAAACTTGAGAGCAGTAATTTTAAATGTGCACGTTGAATAAAGTTCGTGCTGTATAGTTTTTTCCATAAAATGTTTTTGTCTATTGTTTTTGACAGCATACCAACTGTAAATGGGAAGGCTCAAGGTATTATTCGATATTTTCATCTGAATTTTGTTACTAAGTATATTATTCTTTTCAAGTAATTGTTATTACTTTACTTTTGAAGCGATTTGCTAGATGGCTCCATCTATTGATGGAATTTCACCATACAATTTTGCCGGGCAGAATGCCAGCGCCTGCCGCTTGGGGGGTTTTTCTCCTTCATTGTTTTCAGGTTTGAATGCGAGAACTGAGCTCACTTTTTAGCGTCAACGTCTTAAGTTTATTCCGAGGGGTATCGCACGGGGCGGTTTTTCGTACAGACGAAGGGAGGTACAGGGGTGATACAGGAAGGTGCAGGGATAATCCAGGGAGGTGCAGGGTGATCTGGGGTGATCCAAGGCAGTCCGGGGCGATCTCGCGGCGATATCGGAGAGATCTGGGGCGATCCGGGATAATTCAATAATAAATCAAATTAGATCTTAAGTCCTAATGTTTGTTCAGAGCTCCAGTGCCATGTAATTGGAATTTTTATTCTGTATGGTTTCTGGTTAAACAAATAAATAATTAAATAAATACCGAGTTCAGTTCGTGATAATTCGAGTAAGTTCGTCACTTTTAGCCACTCTGGAAAATTCTCGGGAAAATTGCGCAGCCATCGAACGTTGACGAGGTCGATTGTTTTACGTACCTACTTACTGGTGATTACTTAATTTCGAGCTTAATTTTGCTCAAATTGTGTGCGTGTGAATCAAGGTATGAATCGATCTGATTGATGCGAGGTTTGATGTGAACGAGGATATAAATCCGTAAGTGTGTATTCATTTTGCGTGATTATACTTAGAATACAGTAGAAGAAACTTTTCTATTCGTAATTAATAAATATTACGCTGTGTATTACGACACATGTTTTTACATTGGATGTGTGCTCCACCGTATAAAATCCAGAAATAGTCAAGCTGTCAAATTCAAGATGACATTTTTGAAGGAAAGGGGGGGGGGACTATTCCTGGCCGAAGGTTGACGACGTGGATAATGTGGATCCTATTCACATTTTTTAATGGCCCAATTAAAATCGTAGGACCAGACTCGGGATCAGAAGCAATGAAGCTTTCTAGGGCTGATCTAGTCAGAATCACAAAAAAATACCAAGACTTAAAAAAGAGCCAACGAAAATAGTACATCAACCCAACTTAAAACTAGACTGAAAGCGATCCAACATTTCTTCATCACTTCTTTTATGATAAATATGTAATAACTTTTGATGTTTGCTCGGATGTTTATTCCTTGGCATAAGTATTTATATCTTGTTACCTATGTTTTTGAATAAACCTAAGTTGATGTGAAATTTATACGCATTTTTGAATAAAAAGCCATAGTAAAAACAGATGATATTGAGGAGGTCTGGAATCTGCGATCTGGGGCGATCTCGGGAGATTTGAGGCGGTATGGGTGCGATCCGAGGCGGTCATGGGGAGATTTGGGGCGGTATGGGGAGATACAGAAGAAATACGGGCGATCTTGACGAAAAAGGTGATCTTTCGTACAAAAATTCCTTGGTGTGATACCCCTCGGTTTATTCAAGCTAATAGTTCCCTTATATGTTTTACTTGTACTTGGCCCTATACATGCGAATTTTTACTTGGAATATCAAGTTATTTTTGGAAAATTGTTTTAAAATTCAGTATTTTAGTTTAATTTGGGGGAAGTTTAACGTCCACGTGCACGCGCACATAGGGTTCCCGTTTGAACCCTTTGCACGGCCTCGATGAATAGCCGTCCGCCCCCAGCGTCACTCAGGACACCCCACACTTGAAAACGCCTGCAGCTTAAGTGGCTACAATCTTGGCAATATGCGCCCAACATGGAGTCTCTCATGCAGTGCGACTCAGAAAGAATACGGTAAGTTGTTTAATCGCCTGACGACACCTAATAATTTTCAGACCGGTTCTGCGCACGAACTAACTTTCTTATTTATGGGCCGAACTTACCCGAAATTTTAACATTAGCATCCTTTATTAAATGCAAATCGATCCATTAAGTTAAACATGCAAAAAGATGGTTGCGCACAAGTAAGTTTCTTATTTGTGATCCAAAACTACTGAAATATTAGTACCACCTTTGACTAAAGACAAATTAATCGATTATATTAGACGTGTGAAAAACTCCGCACGCACATATTCTTTTTAATAAAGTCAAATCGACAGATTATATTATACATATGGAAAACTTGCGTCCGCGCATGCGCAGAAGTAACTTTCTTATTTATGGGCGGATCGTGCTGAAATTTTAACAGAATTGCCCCTTAATAAAAGCAAATTGATCCGTTATATTAAAAACATCCAAATGTCCTTTGCGCATGTGCAAAAGTAAATTTCTTATTTGTGGACCAATTTTTGTGAAATTTTAATGCTATGCATTTCTTATAAAAAAATTGAACACATTATATTTATATCATAAATGATACTGCTATATCGTTTAGGTACTTCGCTCAATAAAAGCTGAAGCGATGCGAGAGAAATAAATACAATAAAGGGAAGGTACTGGGTCTCAACAGATACTTTCGTGCGCAAAAGTTACGTTTTGGAGAAATTCATTTTTTTTTAGTTTGTTTTGTTATGTTTGCCCAGTTTCTGCATCTATGACGCCTTACCAGGGGTGTTTGCATAGCATGGCTGGCGTTGGGCGGTACTCTTAGAGGGGTGGGTTTCTTAAGTTTTCGTCTAAGAAATATTTATACTACAGTATGTCGATTGTCCATGATCTTTGGATTTCGGTAAACCTTCTGTACAGCCCTTTACAGTTTATTTCAAAAGCAATCATTCTGTGACAGTGTCGCTTCAAAGAAGACTTGCCAGCTCCCCACTTGATCTGAGGTACTCTCTGAGGACAACCTGAGATCAATTACAAACGTAGGTTCACCAGCCCGATTCAGTTAGTACTCTTCAGATAATGACTTACCTCTAGGGGTAACTTTAAGTGCTCCCCCGTCTAGTACGGTGAGCATTTGAATAATACCCTATACTTAATCAGGTTTCTTTCACAGCACTCTGTCAACCATGCCATCTCAGAATCTCCTGTGGATGTGACGACTGGGTCAGTTTTGCCAGTTAAGTCACATGTACTACCGTGGTATCACGTTCCCACAAATGCGACAACATAAGGGCTTTAATCACGGGTGTAGTCAGAGGCTGTGTGTGAGGGGTGTGTATACAATAAAAATGCAGACTTCAATAAAAATTCATAATATACAGGTATAAAAATAAAACAACTGCCTTTTAACGCTGCCCATTGTGACACTATTTTTTCCAAATGTATATTATCTACTATACCTTTTTCTGATTATTTAGGACCAATAAGGCAGTTAGCCAATTATCGGCCATAGAGGAACGTAAATGATTTTGAATTAAAACTATATAATTAATACAATATAAATACCAAAGTAATAATAATTATTATTGTTTTATGATAATTGTCATTATTACCCCCCCCCCCCCCCTTTTCTAAAGTTTAACTTGGCACCACTAAAGGCATGCGGTTGTCGTATGTGTAAAAGTTATGCACGTTTTACTTTCAAAAACAGCATCTCAGGAAATAATTCGTGGGGGGGGGGGCCCTTTTAGACAGCGAAATTTGATGGCCGTTTGACACACCTTCAAGGTATTGGCTACCTACTGCAAAAAATTCCAGGACTCTAGGACCATTCCCCTAGAAGTAGTTCAAAACACTAGAAGTGGGTCCGGACGGACGAACGGACGGACAAAACGCAAACAATAGCACATTCTTAAAAAATGCGCTAAAAATCGAGTGGTGTAACGGGAATCCGTTTCTGGTGAAACTGGGCTAGGGCTGCAATTTAAAAATTTTGGGGTTATTACCCTCCAACAAAACTCCCTAGTGTATGAAAGTTCTAAACTATCTAAAATGCAATTTTTATGACCCGTTATCTCTCTCTTTTTTGATTCTGAAATTTTCAGCTTTTTTCATATAGCTCCGCCCCGGAAACCCTGTATAACTACATGTTATACAGTGTGTCTCAGGTAGAACACATCACATAGGAAAACGGCAATGTATTTTTTCGCGAATGATCCACGAGACCTTTGAAATTAGCATTCAATGTACTTACTCCAATCTCTTTTTAGCATCAGACAAGCGCAATAACGTACGTTGAACGCTAACTTTAAATACATATCAAAGGCTTCGTGGAACCTTCGCGAAAAAATACACCAACTCTGTTTCCCTATGGTGCATTCACCCTGGGACACACAGTATATTGTACTGTCTGAAGTGTGAGTACAAGAATTTCTCTCCATTTGTTTTAAAAGGGGAAAAGTTTAAGTAACGAATATTTTAGAAATTCCGATAGACATCGAGGCGCCATAAAAGATTAGTCATCGGCGATAAGAAAGGAATGTGGATGTAAGCGTTTGTATTGGTAACAATGTGAGGCATTCTCTCCGGGAAATAAGACGTGTTTTGTTCGAGAACATTCTAGAATTAATACTCGTTTGGAAGTGTTCAAAAACGTTCGAGAAACAGGGGCGTATGCATAAGCAAATCGAATTGTGTTTCAGTCAGTTCCAATTTCAACGTCGAAAGTATTAAATAGTAAGCTCTGTTATAAATTGTGTATATTTAACTGATAAATAATATTTTAACTGTTATAACACAATTCATTTCAAGACTGTCATAAATTTATTGTTAATTAATTGTAAATAAATAAATCACGTAATTAAATGTACTTTAAAATACGCTTTGTTGTCTATGTCAATGTATTTATTTTATTTTGTCTTGATAATTTCGTAAAAGTTGGTTTATTGACTACTAAAAAATCTTGGGGCGCAAAATCAGTTAGGGCTTAGGACGTTGTTGACCCTTAATACGCCACTGGTTACAAACATAATTGAGTAATCAGTACTGTACAGAATTGAAGTCTTGTCCACGATGGTATCATCTGCACTCCAGCGCCTTTGAACAATACCCTGTTGGTTGATTCATTTTAATTTTTATTTAGCGGCGAGTAGCGAAACAAGAAATCTGTAATTTTTTACCGACAATCGACACGCGCGCGACATCTGTAACTCTTAAATTTTGCTGTGTCCAAAATGTACATGAAGATTCTGTTTTCTACAGTATGTCTACTTAGAAAATAAAGACAAAATCAGAAGTGGGAATTTTAATCAAACATTTGATCATTGTTACAGCTGGCAGTACGGATACAATTATTTATTGTTTACACGGAACAACAGATGTGACTACGGCAGTTATGAACATAATACTCGGAGATTCTCTAGGATTAGATCTTGTCTCGGTTCACGACGATACCCGCCTACTTCGCCTATACGCCAGTATTTTAAGCTACGGATACCTGGGTGACATTGCGCACAACAGTGAATCTTTTCGTTGGATGGGACCATCAAGGTACGAGTATTGTGGTAAGTTATTCAGTTGTCAGGTAATCCCCTAAGTGCATTTACGCAGGTTTTAAAAACATTATGGCTAACAAAGGGTACAATGGCGAAATTTCCATTTTATGTGACGAAGATAATATTGAACAAGCCAAATGCTGCGGTAGATGCGACCAGTGCACTTCCCAACAGAATGGAGTTAGTGGTGGCAAAAAAGTTGACAGGTGGAAAACTGTGCGAGGGAAATTCTTTATGATTAATGCGGCTAATATTAGTTGCGCATGTATTCGTAGTCCATATGGTATTGCACCGTATTGCCACTTAGGTGACGGGTATTTACATTTGGTACTAGTGCGACACACATCACTAATTAATAACTTGCGCATTCTGTCTCGATATGCTAAACGTACGTATACTACGGATGACTTACCGTTCATCGAGGTCCATAGGGCAAAAGAAATTACTTTTCACGCAAACGACGCTGTTAGAAGTCATTGGAACTGTGATGGTGAAGTTCAACATCAATCGGATATACATGCTCGAGTACACTGTCAGCTCATTAATGTATTTACTAGGGGAAGCACTATGGCTGTCGATGATGAAAGCAATAATAAATGCAATTTTTGTAGGTTTTGTAAAATATAAGATAGATGCATATATATTTTTACGGACTTGGAGGTATTCTGTGATAATTTAACAAACTTTTCAATTATTCTCAATTGTTAATATTGCCATTTTTGTATATGTGTGGTAGGCAATGTCTGATGTAAAATTTACAATTATGTGAAGTCAAGTAGGCAACACACGATACAAGACTGTCAGATTATGGTTGAATTACATAGTTTGTGTTGTTGACGTGACGTCTGTAGAGTGCACAAATTAGGTCAGTTCAAATCGGACATCGCTTAGCGAATACAGAAGTCACGAAATTTTTAAGAAAAATGAGTTGTGGCCATAGCTACTTAAAAGTGAACTGAATGTTTGTCATTCCTCATACAGTACAGTGCAGATCGTATTCACTAGAAAACGAAAAAAATAACACCAAAATATTGAAAACCTGTTTTCTGTCAGAGACAGGTGTTTGTGAATATTGACTTGTTTTGTACAAAATCTCGATGTTTTTAGTTTCGAATATTTTCTTAGAACAGTAATGTAAATAAGTACACAATAAAGTTTCTTATAAAGTAATGATTACATTAAGTATAAACTACCATTGATTGACAAGAAGCGGATGATTGAACGAGAATATAAATAGAAGAAAAATGCGACGCTTTTTCAAGGGGATAAGTATGGTTGCCCTCTGGGACAAGCTTTGCTAACTAAAATCGAATTGGGTTTGACATCCAGATGGTACACCACAGCTAAATACAACTTTCAGTAGTAGCATTGAATAAGTACAATGCTTCTATTCAGTTCAGAAGCTTAGAAGACCCAGATTTGTCAAAGGGCCCTGTTAGGAAGGTCCTAGACTGTCTGACTCCAGTTGCTTGGAAATTATTATTATCCCTCTCTTGTTTTGGGCCCTCAACAGACATGCGCCCAATGAGTCATCCAGTCTTTAATCCTGGTCCTGACAGCGGAGGGATCAGTTCCTACATGCCTATAGATATGCAGTGGCGATTTTGTTTATTCGCTCAATGTGCCCTTTCCAGGTCGCCCATCTCAGAGATCCCTTGGTAACCATCCCAGCAGCTACAGTCCAGTTAATCCACCTTTTTACACCGACCCTGGTAGCTCCTTTTGGTGGGTCTGAAGTTACATAATCCACAAAGCCTGGAGAATTTGTTTCCAAAAGACATCTGTGAGAGCCTCACCCGCGGCAGGCGCGCCTCAGTGTCCCCGCTCTGTTTTCTTTTTAAATACACCGCTTTGTTAACATAACATGATATAGATTTTCGTGCAAATAAAATAAGGTCTACACGTTTTTGTTTGTAGTACGTCAGATACCGAACAGTGCCGTCTTGATTTCTTACTCTTAAGGCTCCTCTGTAGTCAATCCGCCATATTGAAAAAATAGTCTTATGAAATGCTGCTTTTGTAGTTGAAGTCTAACAAATTCTCGATAGTGGATATTCTTTGCAATGATGAAAAGAACGGCGGTACTTAAAAAAAGTTGAAATATCGGTCTTAGTTTTTTAGGAAGATCGATGAATAGAAAAATCGTTTTTCGTAAATAACAGCCGTTGTAATGGCAGTAGAAAAACCTACAGCACCAATTTGGAAATCCGACAGAATTTTTTACGGCGGTACTTAAAGATATTATTTCCATCTATTATGATAAGGCATTACCTATTTTAAAAAATAAGTTCCGCGATTTTCAGAAAAGAGCGCAACGTTAACATAAAGGTAGGCAACTCAAATTGCACTTAAAACCCCTAAGGCGATATCTCATTACTTGCAAGGGAAAACAAAAGAAACTACCTGGCATTATCCTGGCACATTGTTACCTCGTTCCTAATGACATGGATTAGGTAAACTACTATATAATTAGCTATTTGTTTTTATAGAAATACTTTTTTATTTCTAAAACATTTTTCATTCTATCTAGATAAAAATGTGACTCCTTTTTGTTTTTTTAACATTTTGTACCACGAAACTGCTTATCTACGTGCATAAAAACATTAAAAAAATGTGGTAGGACAGGACAAACGCATGACCTCGACATAAGGAGAAAGCACAATACCGCAATTCCTATGTAGTATCCTTACAAAATACTTCAGAAGTCTCAATTAGCATCAATTCAAAAGTAAAGTTTGTCAAGTTAGCGAGACACCACCAAAATGAATATCCGTATCAAAAAAAGCGGCATAATTCGTTGGTTTTCCCGGTAATAGTGGCAGATATAAAAAATTCTCGCACTTTTAACAAATTTCGGACTATTTACTTTTTCCGTTTGAGTACCTATGCCTTTTGATAGAGTCCCGCAATCTTCACAGCAACTTTGCTGCAATTTTTTTAATTTTCCATTACTATGTGGCAACAGAAAACGGTATGTTCTATACTGTGTACTTATTTTTAGCTTTTAGGGGAATGGTAATATATATAGTCTTGGAATTTTTTACAATAAGTAGCCTATACCCTGGACGTCCGCCAGACGGCCATCACTTTTAGTTGTTGTAAGGCCCCCCTCTTTTTTACCCTTATCAAAATAGGGAGTTCGGGGAAGAGAGGGACTAGTATTATCCATACTCTAATGAAAGGTCTCAACAAAAGGAATCCATTTCTACCTCTTCGACGCCTCATCGTGATCTGTTATAATTTTTATCTCTATAGCGAATTGCCGGAGGAGGTACTCACAAAGGGCGATTGGGACGTGTGGAACAAATATATCCATTGATAAGATCAACACGATAAGAGCGAATACAGTTTGTCGGAGGAGAGGCAGAATGAATCGTCTGGACGAGACATCTATTGGTGAAGTCCAAGCGAATATCTTGACAACAGAAGAGCCTTATAACCCAACTATTTACTAAGCTAATTCGGTTTAAAAAAATGCACTTTATCTGCACAAGAGTTGTGCACAATTAATAATTATTTCAATATGATCTGATATCAACAAGGATGAATACTTGTTCGTCAAAAAATAGAGGATTGCCCAATTTCAATTTTCACTACTGAATTAAAGATTTAAAAAACCGAATTATGATACCGCACAAACGATGCCAATATCCATACTTACAGACCAAAAGGTGTAAATTCGATTGCTTGATGTCCATGTGATATGTCATGCTTTTTGGTGCCGAATATGGTTCTACCCACAAAAATGGAGGATAGGTTGCAATGACAATTATGTGTAAACATGTGTTATTGTGTTAGTTACATTTTTACCAGCAGTTTTGTCTGTTCGGAAAAAACCTTCATGGGCCGTGCATAAATAAAACGAATACGCTAACTGTACAATTATTTTTTGAAAAGATAAGAACTTTTTTTTAAATAAGTAAATAATAACCTAGTAATTATAAAAATGTCTAAATTAAAATTGATAAGTAAAATTGATTAAAACAAATAAACGAAAATAATAATAAGGTGTAATTAACAATGTATTGGGAAATGTTAGCAAACATTGCGAATTTTTTCCACTAATTACCTTAGAATCAAGTAATTTACAGAAGATCTCATTATAGACAAATGGAGTAAAAGGAACAGGTATTTGTGTAGCTTCATTCAAATATTGACTACACCTTTTCAATAAACTTGTTTACATAATTAATCCTTGATCATTATACCTGGTCTATTGTGTAATATAAAGAAAATATGCAAAACTGAAAAGGATAGACCGTTTTCGCACTCCACGAATATACGTAGAAATGTGTATTGTTGGTGGTCTAACCAATTGCAATAACATTGAAATGCAAATTGACTACAGAGGAACCTTAAGGTTACAATACAAATGACAATACTCTGTATTTTAATGCAAATATAGTGTGTGAAAGCTAAAAATTTCAATACCAAACAAACAAGGCAAAAGGGACTTCAAAGAAATTAATTTTATCAAAATACTCATGACTCATGAGATAAGGTAACTAGACGTTTCGCCAACGCCAAGATGGAGGCGCTCAGCATCCGGTTGGGAACTTACTTCCCACTTTTGCCCCCGAAGACCCGAACTAATGTCTAAAATATTTCTTTTGTGAATTTATTGACTAAATCTGAATTTAATTCTTTTTGTTTTTCATATAACATAAAAATAAAATGGTCATTATGTTATTTATATTGTAGTATAAATATTGCCCACAATTAGGGAAATTGCTCAGAGTAAGAAATAGCTCTGAGGGAAATTGTATCGGCGTTTCGCGCCATTTCTGTTCCTTTGTGTGTTTTTCCCTCCTAATCACGTTCATCGTCTTCCGTTGAAGGTTTGTGATCGTCTTTTCGTGTGAGTTTCTTGAATTTTTAACGGTTGTTTTGTGAAAATGAAAGAAAAAGATATGTTTGCTCATGTTACACCTGAAGTGTGGGTGAAAAATGAGAAAGATTTGTTGAAAAATGTCGAATCTCTTTGGAACATGGTAAATTATTCTAACCTTAACTTAAAAGTAATACAGGCCTAATGTATTCTTTAAAAGGTGCCCTTAGTTAACATCAGCGATATTAATAGCCTTTCCGACCAGAGATTGGTCAAGTTTCGTGGTATGGTGCAGGATACCTTAAATGTGGAGTATTATCTAGATCAGTACGAGGTATACGATAAAGTAACCAATGAAACGAAAACAAAGACAACGAAGTTTATGGATGAAATCGTTTATGATGTGGTAGGTATTTAATAGGAATACAGCATTTCTGCATCTGATCTCTTTTAGCAGTGTGAAGTTTTTTCGTTAATAAATCCTGATCACGTCTACGCGCTCAGACATGTTTATGTTGGCATCGCAATACCGGGATTCAATGCATGGGGGCGTAATGTATCCTTTTCTATAATTATTCTGAACTGCTATCTCTATTTTGGACAAGTTTTATTGAATCAGTTTTTACATAATTGTGGAACTAAAATGTACATGATTCATTATGTCTCGTATCACATAAACATGTGGACAATGTTATAGAGGGACTCCTCTCCTTTCACCCTTTGTTTACAGCTTGTGGGGCCCCTATTTCTACCTTAAAATAATACAAAAGTTTTAGTAAATGTTAGAGTAACATATGCTAAACCAACTTTACAACATTCTCTACGCGACATTTTAACTGGGCAGGGGGTTCCCTTGGATTGGAGTCCACGTGCCCATGAGAAACCTTCTTAAACATTATAAATGAGTAAGGTTTAGATAGACCTCATTTGAAAGGTCTTTCTAGACTTCGCTTTTTGATCATGTGCTCTTTGCCGGCCCGTGTGGCGCAGTTTAGTTAAAGCTGAACTGTGGTGCTAGGGTCCCTGGTTCGAATCCGGGTTCGGGCATGGATATTTGTAAATGTATAGTGGGTTGGGTTGGTAGAGCAGCCTTGGCTGAAACCCCGCCCACTCAAAAATAAAGGCAAAATAAATAAATAAAACTTAAAATGGTAAAATCAAAGCTGGAATATTCACTTGCGTAAAAGATACAAAGGAAGATACAAAGAAATTATCAGAACTAACCCTTTTTTTTTTAATAGAAAATTATCTTTTCAAAAATATAAAAAAATTTGCTGTTAAATTGTACAATAATAAACAAGATGCTTTCATTTACTGCTTTTGACATAGGATAAATTTCACGATATTGAAAACTAAACAATTTTTACTCTTTTGTATGGCCAATCAGTAAGCCCTACCTGGCTTGTGAGACAAATGTATTCTGTATTAATAAAAAAAGTTGTAGATACTTTTTCGATAAATGCCATACAATTTCCTTAATCAGTTTAGATCGAGCGGAATCTTGGACTAGCCATTGGACCAAGTCCAACAGCAAAACGATCAATAGATCATGTAGAAATGTCTATGGACGAAGCCAGCTCGACATCTGGATCTAAAAAGCAGTGTATGTCGCAGGCACCGACTGACCAAAAAACCTTTCCCTACCCAGTACCCGCTGAAGATCCTAATTTGGAGAAGAAATGTTTTCTTATATTGTATGAAAATACGAACGCATTGAAAGTTACAGATTTAGTCGAAGTTGTTGGTTTCGTCTCACGCACAGAGGGACCGATTGTTAGAATACATTGTGTGACATTTAAAAAATTGGATCACTGTAATTTAACGACCTGTTATACTCCATTAGTGCAAAATCAATACCCTTCGTATAAAAACGATTTACACTTTGTACTAACTCAGTTGATGTTGGGAGACGAGCTGGCGGCAGAGTATTTGATTTATCATTTGATCTCAAGAATGTAAGTGATCTTTTTTTTAAAGGTGTTCAATTAATTCGTATTTTAGATATACCCGTAATGATGTATTTCCCATTGGCAAGTTTTGCCTGAACATATCACAGGTACCCCCAAGCATACTCAACGGGTTTGGTAAAGGTGTAAACGACTTCATAGAACTAATAGTGCCTGCCAGCAAGTATGTGCCGATGACCATAGAAAATCTCAATACGCTTAGTTTCTGCACAAAGTAAGTATTGTAGAGGTTCATGTTCCATTTTCTACCCCTGAAATTTTTTTCGGTGCGCCAGTGGTAGATTGTAAAACAAGAATTTAATTTTCTGATTTGTTTAGAAATTTTTTGGTCTTTTGTTTTTTCGTATCTTGACCGCTATCACAGATATACGTAAAGAACAGATTGCTAACCATAATGCATAAATTGCTTAACACATTTACCCACTTATTTTAAAGCCCTCTATTTAGGAATGTTATTACCACAAACAGTTTAGTATTGTGGTATAGTGGTTCTTGAAGAAGGTTGAAACATTTTCTATGCAATTATCGTTAAGTGTCACTGTAAAAGTAATGTTTTATCTTTTTCTGGAGAAGGAATGCATGATCGAAGTCGACTCGGTTGTGCTTATCTTATCTATGCCAATATTCGTTAGGAAGGATATGATATTTAACTATTTATAAATTCTTATTTACTACAACTCACTTTTGCTATAGCATTTCGACTGTTTTAAATAAGGTGCAATTTTGTTATTATTAAACTTACGAAAAGACTCATAATAGTAGGAATGGGTAATAGACGGAGAGCTGGCTACAGATAAAAGTGACTTATCGCTACATGAAAAGTGTGTAAAGTATTCTGATACATAGTGACGTAGAAAAAGTCATGTCTGCCAGCGAATTCCCGTGCCTTAAGGTTGGGAGGGGTGGTCAAATAAGTCAAATTTTAAAAAAACTGCAGATTTTCCGACTAAATTTACCTCTGGCGCCTTTATTTTGAATCCGACCCAAAAAATGAATGAAACTTTTTTGTACAGCTTATCAAGCTACATCTTTTTTGTATTTAACATTTTTCGCTATGATACTTACTTTTCGAGAAAAGTGCAAATTAAAAAAAATTATAAAATAAATAGTTTAACTTTTCAATTTTGAATTTCTGAAAAACTAAGAAACTTACAAAAAAACTATAATGGACTTTTTTGTGGAGTTTTGTATGCCACATTTGTCAGTGTGTGCAAAAATGATTACAAAACGGTTTTTGTTATGGCCCTTTTAAACTGTATGCCTGTGGTTCGTTTCTTATGAACACGATAACCCAAAAACGCCTGAACCGATTTTTATGAAATTTGGAATGTTTATTAGATTGTATAGGGAATAGCACATGACCTATTTTGGTTTCGGTCCGTTACAAATGTGGCACAAAAAACTGTACAAGAGAGTTATAACAATTTTTTGTGAGTTTCTATGATTTTGAGAAATTTTAAATTGAACAGTTAAACTCTTCATTTCATAATTTTTCTAAATTTGCACTTTTCTCAGAAAGTAAGCCTTATAGCGAAAAATGTTACATATAAAAAAGAAGTGTCTTGATGAGCTGTACAAAAAAGTCTCATCCATTTTTTGCGTCAGATTCAAAATAAATGCGACAGAGGTAAATATAGTCGGAAGATCGGCAGTTTTACATATAAAAAAGAAGTGTCTTGATGAGCTGTACAAAAAAGTCTCATCCATTTTTTGCGTCAGATTCAAAATAAATGCGACAGAGGTAAATATAGTCGGAAGATCGGCAGTTTTATTAAAATTTGACATATTTGAGCGCCCCACCCAACATTAAGCCACGGGATCTCACTGCCGGACATGACTTCTTCTATTTCACTATGTATCAGGATACTTTACACAAAAAATCAGCATGTAGCGATAAGTCACTTTTTTCCGTAAGCCAGCTCTTAAGACTTTAAACAATACCATTGACTAATACCCCCCCCCCCGCTTCCCTCCCCAATATTAGTCAATGATAAATCCCAAAACGAGGTCATAAAGTTTGCGTTTTTTAGAGAACGTTTGAACGAAATGATATAGAAATCAAATAGTTAAGTGGCCAAATCGAAAAACGACTCTGTTTCTTAGTTCTAACGGCATTTTATGAGCCATTTTGGCCACATGGTTTTTTAGATGTAAAACATGTGCTGAATCTGATTCTGGATGTTGCCAGGCCGAATTTTGCACTAGTTCACAAATACAGCACGATGGCGCCACTGTCTATTGTATTGTGTACTATTTTGTAAATTGTTTTCCATATTTTATTACTTATATATACGTAAGAGTTGGTTAATTAACTTCATAGCTAGTTCGGAAAATGTAGGAAAATATATCTTGTGGTGATATATAGGGTCCCAAAAAAGCTGTGAATTAATTAAATAGTGTTTTACATTTTCCTTGGCAAATTTTGTTTGTTATTAAATTTTGTGCTTTTTAATAACCGTTGGTAAGTATTTAAGGTTTTTTCCAACTATATATAAATATATATAAATAAAAATTGCGTGTTTTTCCAATGAATTCAAATCTGCATTTAAAAAAACAAAACCACATCGCATTTTTCTGATGATATCAAAAATGTGACTTTGATATGGAACACCCTGTGTATTATTACATAATATGACAGGTTATTAAATTCTTTATAAAACACTATAGCAAACATATTTTAAATAACCAACATTTTCAAATTATTGACGATCTCCTAGGACGTAGAGAGTTTATAATTTTGCGGTGTCTGTCCATCTGTCCCGAGATCTTGTTCATTAGCACGATACCTCGAAAACGAATAGACCGCCGATTATGATGAAATTTTGCATTTGAATTCTTTATCAGAGTTATAGATCGGAGTTCGTGAATTGGCTATGTACTTAAAAAAATAAAGAAGGCCCTTTTGACATCTCCGTTAGTTATAAACCGAATTGCATGAAATTAAATATGGGCATAGTTTTAGCCATATAATACGCAATGCCAAAAGTTGGGCCTAATCAATTCTACATTCACAGTGCCCTTTTTGAATTGCAAAATCTTTTATTTATGAAAGTATTTAATTAAAATTTGATACATAGGCACTTGGAATAAAAGCAAATCTAACACCAAATTCAAAATTTGGTTTTTCACATGCTATAGTCACTACCTATGGTAGTATCTCGAGTAGTATTAAATGGCGTTAAATGTAAATTAATTACATTAACTTAGCATTAACCACATTAAATTACATTAACTGAATTAACTTGAAATTAACTGCATTTACAGAACTACATTAAAAGTTAATTTTAATTCATTAACTACTATTTGTACACCGAATTAACTGGTGGTTTACCCCTCGGTTCCCGCCGACACAATGCAGCGGCGCCACTTGCTACACTCAAATTGTTTATTTACCACCCGCCAAGATACAGACTTTATTTACAAAAAATATGAGAGAGAGATAAAGGTCTAAATGTATAAAATATAAAATTTATATATTATTAATATAAAATTTTATTTTTCAAAAACAACTTGAGTTTTTTAGGCGGACGCTCTTATCGAAATTTACATTGGGTGCCGTGAGTACAGAAGGGCGTAGAGTTGCATCTTCTCATGATGCTGTTGTCGGGGACATTTTGTACCATACATATTGTCTCGCAAATGCGATAAGAGACACTGAAAAATCGAATGGTCAGACTAGTCCTCCTAAAAACTTGGTTTTAAATAAATTATGCTATGAACTAAAAGTGCATAAATATCTACAAGTGTCTTGGCGACTGCTTCAATCGTAAAAAAAATGAGCAGAATGATGAAGAAATTCCCAACATATGTTTTGCAATTTTCTGTGCCTCCTGTATGTTTTTTTAACTCCTCAATCCAAAAAACTATGTAAAATGCGTCTGGCATAAAAATTTACATAGTTGGCGGCCATATTGGCCGCCATTTTGAAATTAGCCAAAAACCAGCTTGGCAACATCCGAATTTGGGCTCAGCAGACATTTTTACCCTTATAAATACACGTTTCCAAAATGGCTCATTAAATGCCGTTAGACTTGCGATTTATTAAGTATGGCCACCAAACTAAAAGACAGTAAACGAAAAAATGAGATTTTAACCTGATAAAGTGTACATTCAAGAACCTGTACAATTTTTTTGATAATTTTGCGTTCATTAGGTAATGGCGTCGTATTATTTTGGAAAACCTTGGATTTGACAACATCGGTACTGCATAGTGGGGCAAGACACGCTGTTTAGAAACCTTGCAAGTAATAAAAGTATCATATTACGATGTGAAGATATGACATCATTAAAATAAAAGAAGTGATTGTATTTCAAAACGTTATTCATTTAGCGTGAGTATAATATCTCGGGCAAGTACAAAAACCATGTTGGTTGAATGTACGAGGGTTTTTACAAAAGTTTTAAATCTTAATAAAACACATTAGATATTTGTGAATGGTTTTTTGATAACAAAGTTTATCTTAGGAGTCCTACAGGAGCTAAGTTTTGATTATTCAAAAATATACTATATGTTCGTTGAAACTGTAAAAATTAGCAATACGTTATCAGTCCCACAGACATAACACCCCGAAAAGTAGTTTTATTTAGGGCCTGATTAATCTCGGATTGTCTGAACCCTAATTGTTCCGCAAAAGATATTTTAACCAAAGGTTCATGGGTAATTCCATAATCGATAGATTTTGAAGATGTAAATCATGTCAAACACGCGGCCCCCATGTCGCTTGTGGCCCGCCGTTCTATAATCTGCGACCGGTCACGATATTTGCAGATTATAAAATTGAAATATGTAATTGAATTGTACCGCATGTCCTATTTTGGTTGAGAATCAGCTGTTTTTAAGGATAGTTAAGTTTGCGATTTTTCGCGACCCTGTGCCACTTTTTGTGAAACCACAAACAAAATCAATCTAGCTACTTTTGTTTCTGAGATAAAAGGTGAAAAGTTGAAAACGAAAAGTTTGACTTTTTGGGATGATATCGTATCTTACTCCATGTAAGATAGAAAATAGGTAAACATGTTTATTTTAGATACTGTTACGTAGAATCCAGTGGCGTAGGCAAAAAAAAACTTTTGGACCGCCGTTTCCGAGGGTCTGAGGCCCAAAGTTGGCATTTTTTTATATGTGACACCCTGTATATCTTAACGTCAATTGTTTGCAATCCTTTTCCTGATTACATTTATGCATCACACTCACAACCTTATATATATTTTTTAGCAATGAAAATCAATTAAAACCTTATTTTTACTGTTTTTAAATAGTATGCCATGAATTCATGGAGATTTTGTTTTGTTTATTGTATCCACGGTAACTAAGGCACTCGATACCAATCAATAAAAATGGCTGACGGTAGAAATATGCCATTTCAAAATTTTAAGAAATATGATATAATTAAATAAAAAAATATAGGATGATACATCATTGTAATCACAAAAAGAATGGAAAAAATGGACGTTAAAATATACAGGGTGTTGCATTAAAAAAATTCCAAGTTTGGGTCGAATCACAGAAATTGTTTTTTGCCTACGCCACTGGATTCTACCTAAAAATATCTAAAATACGCACTTTTTTATCTTTTTTCTATCTTACATCCCAAAATGTCGAACTTTTAGTTTTCACCCTGTAACTTAGAACCAAACATAGTTGGATAGATTCTGTAGGACACTGTACGTGTACATGTTCTTGAGCTGGTACTAATGATTTTATGATTTTTTCTATTTTTTCGTTTTATTGTATTATTATTTCGTATACTTTTTATATTAATAATAAAAAATCAACATTTTCTTAATGTAAACTTTTTTGTAATGTGGCCCGCAGCTATCTGTGGAAACCTTAAAATAGCCCTTGATGATAACATCATGATAACATTTCCGCATTTATCGTTTCTAACTTTTGGACGAATAAGGCTCTTTGAGATTGATATATCTCTGGGTTTGCTATTTCAGCAGCTAATGGACCATATTCTTCAATATCAAATCAAAGTTAAGATACACCACAAAAATAATCTTCATGTGTAAATAAATTAAGCCTTTTCATAGGAAAGTTGAGCTTTTATTATTAGGGTAATAATATGACAAAGACACACAGAGATCAGTACCGTAGTTTGAATATTGAAGGTGCAGTTCAAATAAAAAATGCCTTATTATACCTGAAAAAATTTAGGAACCTTATTTTTTACACCATCCTCGTACATACAACTACGTCAACTGCTTATCTACCTATTTGTTCACTTTAAAAAACTAATCCAATAGTAGTGCAGTTAAATAGCAAAGGAATAAATCTGTAAGTATTTGCTCTTGATTCGCGTACTCGACACGAAATAATTACTTAAAAAGTACTTAGTTCAGAGAAATACTGCGTATCTGCACCACTGCCCTAAATAAAAATAGGCAGACCTGTGCGTATCCAACGTGTTGATGTACTCATAATCAACCAACCTAAAGGGGAGAAATCTGTAGGTTATTGAAGAATGAAGATACCTACAGTGGGTTTGTTCATTCGTTGTACCCTGTCCTCTAACAGAGAAAATGAATACTATTGCGTCTTTAATAAAGCAAATTTAATTTCCTCAAATTTTTCCTACTTGTAGGCAACCCGTTATACTTATTTGCATTACACCTGCGTTTACTAAATTTCCATTTAGTTAGCAATCTGTTCTTTACGTATATCTGTGCCATTATCGAGAAAAAAAATTTTCAATTTTCAGTAGTTAGCTACATGAAAGTATATTTTCCAAAAGTTTAGAAAAACACAGACAGACGGACACCATCGATATACCTGATAGTTGTACTTGTATATCTCCTAGATTCTCTTGGTACCCTTAACTTAGCCTGGCCCCAATAAAATGTCTCAAGTGTGCATTTGGTTGTGGACTTTGGCTTATATTATTATGCTGTTCAGGTACTACCATTCTTAAGATCTAAATAGTGGTGTATATCCATGCATACATTTTATCTTCCAATAAACATTAAAGGATATTTGTTTATGGAATCAATTTTCAGCAAGGATTATGAAACGGACACTTTAAAAACTGGAATACTTCAGGTTGCACGTAATACCCACATAGTACTCGATGAAACAAAATTAGAAGCAGGCCAATTAAACGAATCTGGGATTAAAGCAATAAACGCACTTAGCAACGCCATTGTATTACAATCTATTGCTTATGACTGTTTAAATTATTCTGTAAACATGGATTGCGACATACCATTTTTAACAATATCGGAAGGAAAAAGTCTGCTACCGGTAGGTAAACCTAATGGTATTCTTTATATATATTGTCCTTCTTAGAGTGACCATCGTGTATGTTTACAACCCGACCAAACTTGCCTGAGTGTTTACCCGGACAGTCAGGAAGCAGCAAAAAGGATTTTGCAAAATTTTGTATATGACCTGCGTCTTTACTTAACGCAGGCGCGCCACCAAGAACTTCAATTCTCTGATGATATAATGGAGGTTAGAGAAAAATGACGTGTGATCGCTCTTTATTAAATTATGTGTTTAGGTGATCCAAAACGATTTCGTGCGTTTGCGCCAAACTCGTTCCTTCGTCGCAGATGATCTCCACAGGCTGCTAGTATTGTCACGATTGATCGCTATATCCGATGGTAAATCCACGCTAGACGTCGATTCTTGGAGGAAGGCTTGCAAATTGGACAAAGAACGAGCTAGCAGAATCGAATCTGTCTAGAAATATCCACTTTTATAAAAGTATATGCATCTTAAGTTTATTTTTATATCATTTTTATTACTTGTTACTGAATGTACTTTTTTTTTTTATTAAAAACCCTTAAACGTTTGGTAACGTTTATTATTACACTCCATTTCTCATCTAATAAGGCGCAGTTGCCAGCTTTCAAAAATGTGTACATCATTGAATTTAGCCCGCATTAGATAAGCGAAATAATGCTTTTATTAAGTCTTCATACAAGAAAAGTACGTCAAAAATTTTGAAAAACCTTGAATAACTTGAAAACCTTTTATGATGGGTATAGGAGAATGTGGTATCAAACGATGTGGATTTTCATGTAGACTTCAAAAATTCAATAAAATACAGAGTGCTATTTAAAATAAAAAAGTTGCTATCCAGATCCGGTAAAACCGGAAATGAAACGATCATGGTAATATTTTATTCCAATAGATCATGAAAAACTATGTTTGTACGGAAATTTTCAGATTTAAATTGCTCTAATACTTTTAGGTAACGGTTTGCGTGAAACAGCCTGTATACCGCCAAATTTTCCAAATGTTTTGGATTGTTTTTGCCAATTTTTATCGCCAAATTATCCAAATCCAAAGAAAGCAACAAAATATTCAACCAATTTCAAAACTACGATTTGGATATCCAAAAATCCAGTGTACCTACACCCCTGATCTGAATAAGAAGATTGCGTGATTGTTTCTACCATAGAATGACCATAGCCAATAAATTCAATGCCAATACCTGTATAAGCATATGCACTGGTACAAGTTGAATTCACTTCGCCTAATAAATCGTTTTGAAAATGCTGAACCTCTTGATGCATATTTAACCCATGTGAAGCCATCAGTACCGAGCGTCGAATTATTGCCTTTGAGAAAGATCTTCAAAGATTTGAGCTTGCGGGCAAAAAACATGCTGTTATCCGTTGGCAGTAGAACATTACCGAGAGAAGTTGTTCAGCCTATTCACAATTGTGAAAAATAGAAACAAACGTAGAAAAAACTTTTTGAGTGAGCGGAGTTTCAGCCAAGGCTGCTCTACCAACCCAACCCACTAAACATTTACAAATATTTATGCCCGAAGCCGGATTTGAACCAGGGATCGCAGTCCAGCTTCAACTAAACTGCCCCGCACGGGCCGGCCGGAATATTAATACGAAACAAATTATATTCAGCATTGAAAACATCCCTCCCTTTGGGATTCATCCCATAATGATTATAATTATAATTATGGATTCTACAGGCCACATTCTATAAGAAACATTTTTTTCCAGGTCTATCTGAGACAATTTTTTTTGAGGCCCTCAAAAACCTATAACCTTCCTTTTTTACCAAAAATCGACTGCACCAAAATTTCTCGAGAAAACACTTTTTTTTATTAACTTTGGTGCGTAGAATCCAAAACAATTCGTACTTTTTCGATCAGACTTCTCAATCAAAAAGTTATGGACTAGAAACCAATTTCGAAAGAAAATTCAAAGGGCTGTAATACTTTTGAACTAGTAGCCCAATCTTGGAACTGTTTGAAATTATGGATTCTACAGGCCACATTCTATAAGAAAAATTTTTTCGGGTCGATCTGAGACAATTTTTTTTGAGGGCCTCAAAAAAAGGCAGTGTATAACCTTCCTTTTTTACCAAAAATCGACTGCACCAAATTTTCTCGGGAAAACACTTTTTCTTATTAATTTTGGTGCGTAGAATCCAAAACAATTCGTACTTTTTCGATCAGACTTCTCAATCAAAAGTTATAGACTAGAAACTAGGGAATGCAATACCGGGATTGCGGGATCCCGAAATACCAGGATCCCGCAGCATTTTTGCGAGATTAATCCCGCACATAAATGGAGCGGGATTTGCGGGACTGAGGAATTTGTCGACCAAGGGGACGACTCTGTTTACTTTGTTAATGAAACTGATAACGGCGAATTATTTTTTAATAATTGTTAAACTTTTTTCGTTAAAAATGTACTATGATTTTTGAGCACTTTAGAAGACTTTTTGTGCTTTACAGGTAAGGTTTTTTTGAGTTCTAAGTTAGGCCGAAGGTACTTTTTTGTTAAATATTGTGATAATTAGCGATTTATTTTAATACAGAAGTTAACCGCACAGAATTGCTTATTTGCCAATTTATTTAAAGTTTTGCGAGATCCCGCAAATACCGGGATCCGCGGGATTAACATCTAACAATCCCGCAAAAAGGGATCATTGAATACTTAATTTTTTATTCAATGCCGGGATTGAGATTTTGCTGCGGGATTGCATTCTCTAAACGCTATGTTATGTGCTATAACCTGACTATACTGCATTTTCACTGCTGAAATAGGGTTGGGGGTAAAGCTTATAGGCTCCAATCTCTCTACATGGTGGTATACAGGTACCTATACTATGTATGTAAACTCGCTGCCAGGGAAGAGGCACAGAACATCACATCGCAACGTCTGGAATATCGGATTTCTAAGCAGATTTGGAGTACCTATGTAATTTCGGTAGAAATTTAGGGAAATCGGTAGACGGAACAACTCTGTAAGAAGGTATTGCAGCAGCCGCGACATGCCTCCAGACTGCGCTGCTAGCATCTCAGCTTGGCGGCCTAGTGGGAAAGGTTTCGACTTTCGACGTCAGCAGCGGCTGCCACGGTCCGTCAATGTGAAAATTTCCGTACAAACCCAATGCTCCGTTAGCAGGAAGGCGGCTTTGAAAACTTTGTCCCCAAAGAGTTGAAATTTTCAACGTCTAATTAACCAAGGGCTCCAAGACCTACCATTCTCTTTTGCATACTTTGACAACGTGCTAATAAAATAACATCTCCTCATCGCTGTCGTCTACCACAGTCCACCATCGCAACACCAAGCCATACTAACTCGAGACAATAGCGACGATGGCAACTCCAGGAAATTTATGAACAGCCGCGTGGTCGCCGAGGTGGCAATGGCAACACTTAAACCACCAACACAAACTTCCAATGAAATGGGAGTACCTAAAGCATTAGCTCTAGGTCTCTCTCATCTCCATCCATGCAGGAGCTTCACGGTATGACCATACATTACTGACCATTGTAAAGTGTTGTATGAGTGTTGGTATCACCACACAACTTTGGTTTCAAAGTCAATAACTGCTGCTGTACATACATCTGTGTACTCGCGTAGGGGAAGAAATTGAACTTCAATGCGTCATATGACGAAAAACGAGAAACTAAAAGAAAATTGAAGCCAGACGCGAGAAGTAAAATTTGAAACAATAAGGAACACTTTTAGAGTATTCATTGTGTTTTGGTAATTACCTAGCTATACTATCTTTAGTCATGATTGTCCAGAAGCAAAGAAGCCTACAAAGACACCATACTAAAATGAGGTAGTTCTCCTGTTATTTAATGGATAATTATAAAGGAAGCGCCAAAAATCAATTCGACCCAATTATAAAAGCGGCATTCATGCTAGAAATAAAGGAGAACCGAGAAGATGGATATCAGCTATACATCAGGAGAACGTCACTTTCCCACCTGAAAGCTAAAAACCTACTTTTGATTTTGCGTTTTGACGTTTTCTAGACTTATCTTTTATTATACAATCAATATAAGAAACACATATTTACGGATTGCTTTCTTTCAACCTTTCACTATCTCTGGACGGAGGAATAAGGGAGTGCAATCGATGGCTGTACCTCAGAGAGCTGGAGGGAGTAAATACGGCTTTGAGCGGCATATGAGAATATCTCCCCAAAAGATTACAAGAGGGCGTCCAACAGAAATTTGATGATGCTGCACAACTATTATTATACTAAAGAAAATTGTTGGTGTACGGATTTGTGGATTGACTGTTACATGGTCTCCTCGGTACCTACCAAATGAAACTCAGGGGTTTATCACCACAGTTACCACTTAGGCGGGCTGTGAGTTGATTTTGGGTTCATGGAACAACTAAGTACTTCCCAATAATACTCAGATTCTATCCTGTATGATTGAATCATCAAAAAGTAACAGGCGGTCGAGTCGTAACATCTCGACGCCACATTATTACTCAAGTATACCTACTTACACTTCACTTCAATATAAACGTTAAAAAATTCTATCAGATTCCCAAATAAAAGAACAATTGCGCCTAAACTCAAATTAGCAAGTACATACATATTTAATTTTATAACGGCCCTAATTAAGGTCACCCCAAATCAATATCTACTTGTACAATTAATGTTTCAAAAGAATGAGTAGTCACTTTCAACACGAGTGGCAATTAATTGTTAATAGCCCTTTGATGTGATGCCATTAAGATACTTTTAATGGGATCAATACAATGAGATTAAAACGCAATAAAACATAAAATGAAAGAAAAAAAATCACACTTTATTCGAGATTTGCTAATACCTATATAAATATAATACTAACAGTGGTAGAATAAACACAAAAATAATACGGTAGGTAGTTTGCATTCAATGAACTGCCTTAAAATAATCCTTGCTGGCATTGGGGTCTGGTTTCATCGTCTTCTTGCCGGGAGTCCAACCAGCCGGGCACACTTCTCCGTGCTCATCTGTGAATTGGAAAGCCTGAACGAGACGCAAGGTTTCGTCCACCGATCTTCCCACAGGCAAATCATTAATGGTGATTTGCCGAAGAGTTCCTTTACCGTCGATGATAAACAAGCCTCTGAATGGGATGCCGGATTTCTCATCCAGTACTCCGTAAGCTTTTGAAATTCTCAGCGATTTGTCGGATAAGAGGGGTATGTTCATCTCGCCTAATCCACCCTGCTTTCGTGGGGTGTTAATCCATGCCAGGTGAGAAAAGTGGCTGTCTGTTGATGCTGCAATAACGGCGGTATTAATCGCTTTGAATTCTTCAGCTTTGTCGGAGAAGGCGATAATTTCAGTGGGGCACACAAAGGTGCTGCAATTAAAGCATTAATCCTGAGTTATATGAAAGGGAATTCATACTTACAAGTCTAAAGGGTAGAAAAAAAGTACTACATATTGCCCTTTGTAGTCGTTGAGGCTTATTTCCTTAAATTGTCCATCGACAACAGCGGTTCCCTCAAAAACCGGTGCGGGCTCTTGCAAACTTGGTACTGGCATTCTTCTAAAATGTAACAATTACACAGAAAATCTACCAATCGTTCTCTTTATACGGATTAATAACAATATAATCTAATTTATCAACGTACCAGGATGATTGATAATAAAAACAGCACGTACTTCCTCAGCTTCAACCGCAAAGTGACCAGACCAGTGAAATGAGAATCACGACGGTATGGCGGTTACATTTATAGATCGCCTTAATCTTTCTTCCTGTCCTAACCGTGTGTCACTATCGGAATTTCCAGTGCCGGAGACAAGGAATTGTCATTTTCATGGAATTAATTTGTAAGAGGTGATTTGCACATTTACTTAAATAAGACACGATAATTGTGTATCTATGTCCGAAAAAGTTGAATGTTGGGAAGGACCAAAACATTAATTTCCATTGTTTATTCATGAATGGTAAAAGTACGATGAATAGGGTCAGAATAATTCGTTTAGGAGCCATATGGGTTCTAAGAGCATTTTTCATATTTTTTCAGCAATTCAATATAGGAATAGGTAAGTCGTACTCAAATTTTGGGACCTTTTGTAACTGCTGATGAAGGGCAGAGCCGTAGGCAGAAGTGTCCATTGCGGGTGGAGAGGGAATAGTAAATGTTACGATGTGGTTTTAATTTTTAATAAAATTCATGGTTCATCTGGCTGACATGGAATAACTTTTCAGAACCCTCTCTATACATTTCTAGGGCAATATAAAACTAGTAGTCGTACACTGGTCCTTTTCAGAGCTCTCGATCGCATTTCTCTTGCTCTGGAGAGAGCGAGGATACACACTTATGGAACATTAAAAAGCTCTAAGAGGTACATGGCAGTCTCAAGAAATACATCTCAGAACGAAATCGATGATTTGATATAATAATACACTCATTGCTTTCGGGGATTTCTACGATTTTTAGGGCAAATCTAACCCAAAAAGTGTCCTAATATAAGAACGCTCTGAAAAGCCCTAGAAAACCTTGGGATAGTATGAAACAAATAATATCGATGGAACGGCTATATTATATGTTCTGGACTGCGGTGCTAAGGGTCCCTGGTTCGAATCCGGGTTCGGGCATGGATATTTGTAAATGTATAGTGGGTTGGGTTGGTAGAGCAGTCTTGGCTGACACCCCGCCCACTCAAAAACAAAGGCAAAATAAAATAAATAAAATTCTTACTGGTGCTTCCCAGAGTCCTCTTGAACATTTTACTCTAGAAGTCAATTTTAGGTTGTCTTTATCACTTACATAAGGGCTAAAATTATGCCAATCCACCTTCTTTGTCTACCCAATTAGTTTTAAAAAATGTACGTTTGCAAAATTACTGATTAAAAATAATGTACTTTTTTTAGCTATTTTTACCACTCGCACGTCGTTAGAAAATGCCCCCCCCTTCACTTTTTTGACGGAGATACACGTTTCGAAGCACGAGGAACCCGAATCAGGCAATCTCGATGAGGTCTGTATGTCGGACTGTCTGTCGGTCTGCCTGTACTCTCATTCAGAGGCGTAACTAGGGTATGGCAGAAATGGCACGTGGCATGGGCGCAAATCAAGGGGGTCGCGAAAAAGGCGTTTTTATAGATATAAATATGTAGGTAGGTATATTAAAAGCCTTTGAGAGTGGGGCATTATTATTTATGAGTAACACTTTTATGTTAAATTAAAACATAGTCCGGACCCCCTATCGATGGACGGTCGGAGAGAGGCGCCATTTACCCATGGTACGCCCCCTGCTCTCGTTCCCGGCTAAAAGGCCTGAACCGATTGGAAGCATATTTGGTACACATATTCGAAGACACACCACTGTCAATCACAGAGACCAGGATTTAAATTACCCGCATGGTCGAAGTCAGAAAGTAAATAGGGTCGCTTAATGTTTCTGGAAAATCTGTAAATTCCCAAAACGATCTAGTAGCTCTCATGAATTCCCATGTAAACGTTCCAATTTACAGTTCAGTTAGAGATTGAATAACGAATTTTTCACTCAACGGTTAGAGCAACTTGTATGACCCTAATTCTCAATTTTTCTTGATAAACCCCCCCCCCCCCCTCCCCCCTTGCGAGTTTTATATTAGGCTCCTGGTTATATAGTGTGCTTCACTAGGTTTTGCGTCACTAGCCGACGTTGTCACTCCCAATTGTTAACTGAGCATGATTTTGGACTTTCGTCCGTCCGTCTGTCTACGTCGTAACTCGCGAACGGTTTCGAATTTTCCAATTCTGTTTTCAGTAGTAGGTAACTGATTAAAAAAACCGGAAGTGGCCATGAAGCTCTTTGTCTATATAACGGTTTAATTTATTAACGAGCGATAAAAAGCGAGTTCATGATTTTGAACTATCTGTCCGTCCGTCCGTTCGTTTGTGTACACGATAACTTTCGAATGGTTTCGAATTTTCAAATTCTGTTTTTAGTAACCAATAGGTAGACAATGATCAAGGGACTATAATTGATTATGATCGATATTCGTCCACTGAATCTCTCTTGATAAAATCGACACACACACTCATATCCCTTGATACGGATTCAGCGGCCCGTAGGATAAAGTTTTGGGAGAAAAATTTCATGAGCTTTAGCATGCACTACGAAAAAAATTTTTGCCTCACGCCAACAATCATTATGGAATAATAAAAAAATATTTATTGAACAACTGATGGTTCTATGCCAGTAACAAGGGGTGCCTACTGCCTATTTTCTACAGGTGACATGTGAGAAACTAATTCTTAATTACGTAGACATTTTTCGAAATTTTATTCATTTTGTCACTCTCCGCCTTAAAGGCAATTGTTAAATAAAAAACCACTTGTTACGTGCTCTCAGTGCTGAGATCTAAAATCTTCAGACGGACGGACCGAATTAGCACTGAAAGTTACGCTAAAACCTGTATCGTTAACTAAACCAATAATAATATAGTGTAACGTACATTTGATTACGTAAATTATTTATTTACAATTAATTCACAATAAATTTATAACAGTCTTGCAATGAATGGATTTATAACAGTAAAAATATTATTTATCACTTACATGTACACAATTTATAACAGCGCTAACTATTTATTACTTCGGCGTTGAAATTGGAACTGACTGACACGCAATTCGATGTGCTCATATAGCAAACGACCCTCCATCTCAAAAGTTCTCGAACGCTTCCGAGTATTCTAGAATGTTCTCGAACAAACATGTCATTATTACAATCAAACAAAACTAAGATTCAACTACAAATTAATTAGATTAATGATTTTACCTTCACTTTTTTTTAGCACACCTACCGCCTATACCAACACTTTCTGGCACACAAGGCTAACATGTTGTGCTAAGTAATGTCATATTTTTTTGTACCAAGTGCAGCTTTTTTATTTTTTTTTACTAGCGTTGATGAAGAAACAAATTACTTTCCAAGCGAAGAGATTACCTAGGTATGCGTTTATGTGCCCTTGTTTTTTTCCGTACTAGGCTTTCGCCTACCCAGTCTCTTATTTAAACAAAGAAAAACCATCCAGCAAGATTTAATAGGCCCGAAAATTTTGGTCCACAAACCGTAAGTGCTCTCACAGCTCCGAAACCGCGTATGGCGATTACGGGTTCTGGCAGTGCAGCACCGATCTACCAGTCAAGATGAATGGAAATGGAAGTAGGCCTTCCGCACATTAATTTGTCGAGTAAATGAAAATAACCTGCCTGACGCGTAAATGCTACGCCTATGGTAATGGTTTATACGCGACGTAAAGAAAGATGCTTGCGGTATAGATTTTTCAAAGGATGCTCTGTCAGCCGCCTTTTCTTGAATACTTTTGTTGCTAACTACAATGGAACCAATCTCTGTCATGTTACTCTTCGACCTTTTACCGTTAGATTTAGGTTTTGTGTTACCATAAATTTAATGATGTTACTCTCCTAGCACGCTTTTCTTTTTATAACCCGGTCTCAGCGAAATTATGACTTGTAATTGATGTAGTAGGATACGTTTAAACTTAGAAAAACTTGTCCTTGACTGAATTCGTGCTCTAGAGAGGCAAATTCTCGCGAGATTTTTTTATTATTAATAATAATGTCATGCGTGCCATATCCCTTTCCATGCTTAATTGCCACTTTTAATGTATTACAGATGGAAGGAACAGATTACGTATAGGAATTATATACCGGAAAGGTTTAGCCCACATATAAAAACGGAATACGGAGATTTCGATTTGTCATTAAATTAATAATTAATTTTGCATTAGTACAATGAGTGGACAAAATAATCCTCCATGCGTCACTTTCAAAGTACCTTAATTGCGGTTTTATTTACGGTCATGACCGAAACTTGCTCTAGAAAACGGACTTTCCGAATCCCGGTATTTTCGCGCTTATTTGGTTAGAATTGGGACGTAGGTACCAAATTTGGAAACAATGTTCAAATTTAATTGCACCCGCAGGTGTTCCCAAAGCGTATATGTAGCGCAAATAGCAAATAATAAACCCACGCAAAGGTGTACGAGAATAATTGTAGCGCGAGCATGCGTTTTTATGCCGCCCAGCCCTAGGGATGAAACCCCCGAAGCCCAAATCCTGATCACTTCTTCTTTATGTGTACCAAAATCAGCATTATATATATGCCAATGCGTTTTTGTGTTAGGGTGCGAACAGCCGACCGGACGGCTGACATATTCCCTCCAAACAAAATCCTCTTCGGAATAATCACCCCAATAAAAATTTTTATACAGTCCTTCGCGATGGCAGAAGTAGTTTCCCTTCCCCTAAGTTTTAAAAGAAAATACACCCCAAATTGATCACAATGCTTAGCCATTATGAATATTCCCTCAACAGACTCGGTATTACACACACATTGCTTAGGACCGTACCTACTATATTCAGCACTTATTGTATAGATACCTGAATTCGTATACAGATTGCCAGTAACATATATATTTGAATTAAAATCATTATTAACATCCCCCCCCCCCTTCCTTTTTTTGATATATGTATTTCTGTTTCAAGCTCATTGGTGAAAAATTTAAGGCTCGAAAAGGAACACATGTACATACAATACCTACTAGTTTTGAATTGAATGTAGGTACCAAAATTTGGTTCCATTGTACATACCTATAGGTATGCCCTTTTAGGTAAATCCAATCCCGAGGGACGAAGAATCGCGACTAACTTCAAAGTTCAACTCGATATCTACCAAAAACTCGTTTTCATTGTACCTCTGGGTCCGTTTTGAAAAATACCCTTTGGAAAGTCCATGTTTCACGAGATCACG